AAAACAGAATGTGGATTTTCTTAAATAAACTAAAGATAACAGTTTAATATTGACTATTTAATTACTGATAATCTGGCATCTGCACTGCTCTCTTTGTAATGAAAATTTTCAAATATAAACAACAGGGAAGAGTACAATGAACCCCGATTCAGGCATCACTTATGACCAAATCATAGCCCATCTTGTTGTTTCCATATGAATCCTACAAATCATCCCCAGTGATGCCACTCCCATTCCTGAGTTATTTTAAAGCAACTCTCAGACATTATATCACCTCCACCATAAGACAAGCATGTGGGGGCTGGGCTGTGGCTCAGTTGCAGAGTGCTTGTTTAGCATGTGTGAGGCCCTGGGTTCCATCCCCAGAACCTCAAGAATGAAAGGAAAGAAAACCCTTCAGTATGTGTATTAGTTGGGGTTCACTAATGAAACAAAATCAATATAAAAATATATATATATAATTATATAAAGGTTTTATTAGGTAGGCTTATAGGATCAAAACTGGAAGAGTCCTAAGCCAGGCATGTTGGTGCATACTTATAATCCCAGCACTCAGGAGGCTGAGGCACGAGGATCACTGCAAATTAGAGGCCAGCCTGGACTACACAATGAGTTTAAGCCTGAACATACCAAGACACTGTCTCAAACAAAAAAAAAACAGGAAGAGTCCCAATAGCTGTCTGTAGAATCAGGGTAGAAGAATCCTAAATGGCCATCTGCACGCTGGTAGAGACAGAGGATCCAGTATCAGTCAAAGGTCAAAAGCCCAGAAGGGCACTGCAGAGTCACTGGTGTAAGTCTGTGTTAGAAAACGAGTCTGCTTAGAAAGCTGAAGTTTATGTTGGAAGCCTGAAAGAACTGGAGACCAACATCGAAAGGCAATGGCAAAGACTGGAGCTCCTCTGAAGGAAAAGGGGGAGACTTCCTTCTCTTTCTCTTTTTATTCTGTCCAGGCTCCAAGCCTAGTGGCTGGTGCCACCCACATTTGGGGTGGGTCTTTCCTCATCAGTTTGTGGCCTACATGTCAAGTGTCCACAAACATATCAGAGCTTTACTAACCTGCTAGGTGGATTTCATTCAAGTTAATTTGACACATCACAATTAACAAAGTATGTATCTGTAACAAATAAGGACCCTTTGAACATAATTACTTTAATACCTTTGCACACCTGCAAAGTTCTTAACTACCATTAAATTTTCAATTGGTGTTTAAATAGCCCAAATTATCTGATTGATGTCTTTTTTTAAATACTGGTTTTGTTTGAGTCAAGAGCCAACCAAGATGTATTTATTATATTTGGTTAATAAGTCTATTTTAACATATTACAGTCCCTTTTCTTTCTTTCTTTTTTTTTTTTTTTTTTTGAGACAGAGCCTTGCTTTGTAGTGCAGGCTGGCCTTGAGCTCAGTATGTAGCCCAGGCTGGCCTTGAGCTCAGTATGTAGCCCAGGCTGGCCTTGAACTCACAGCAATCCTCCTGCCTCAGCCTCCTGAGTGCTGGGATCACAGGTGTGCACTACCACACCCAGCTCCTTTACTCTTTTTAAATCTGGAACTTTATTAAAGACAGTAGGTCATCTTCTTTGTAATGTCTCCTCCATTTTCTATGGTAAAGATTGCCTCCTTGTAAGCTGGTAGGAAACTTAGAGGCTTCATCAGATTCCCGTTTGAGTTGGGCGCAAGAACATTTCAAAGGAGGAGAGGTCATCTTGTCTCCTATCAGATCAGAAGGCAGAAGCAGCTGGTTAGTCCCATGTTCTCAATATGACCCTTTAAGTCCCTCCACAATGGGATCTATGATTTCCTTAGGGGTCTCAAAGCAAGGGTATTAAACTTCTGTGATTCCTTTTTTTATTTATTAGTGGAAACATTGTTCACCTTGAAATTAAGTCTGTACGGGTAAATCCTTGACTCTTTCGTCAGTTGTCAGAATGATTACTATTGGGCTGGTCTTTGCTTCTAGAGAGTTAGGAAATATGTATGAAAATAATCAGGAGTTTATACTGATATTTCCAATTCAAATTCAGGACAAGGCTTCGACTTCTTGGATTTCGTATTTGTGTCTGTTTTCTTTTATGTTGAAAATCTTGGTTCCTAATGACATTGACATTAATTATATATTCACTTTATGTGTGTGCACATGTATGTATGTAGTCTCATATAATAATAGCACTGATAGGATTGGAGTGGTCCTGGGTTCAATCCTCAGCACCAAAACTAATAATAATAATATTAAGAACACTGATAATTGAAAACAATTTAAGATTTTTTTGACAGTGTAATTTGTCCTGAGGACAGATCCCACTGAGGAGGAGGCACAGCCATATTCCTTCAGTGTTAAGCAGCTTGAACTCATTCAGAGGTGTTATGTTAAGACTGTGATTAAATGATTAAATTGGTTTGTTGCATTTCATTTCCTTTTTTATTTTATTGCGTGTTGTGGCTATGGAAACATTTTTATGGTTCCAAAGTTTTTTTAAAAGGCCCTACTTTCCTAGCACAAATATTTGCTGACTTTTACAACATATGTATATGATTGTTCTATGTTAATTCATCCTGTGGGGGGTGGTTTCCACCAAGAAAACCAAAGGCATATTAAAGAACATGACTTGCCTTAAAGTTCCGCTTGATTGAGTACTTTTAGGGAGATTTGCAAAGGAAAGGTCAAAAGGCAGATTTCAGGATCTCAAATCTAAGTGTCCCTGTGTCACCCAGAAAATCTCATCCTAAACAGGTGAGTGTCGGGTGGTAAGAAAGGGGGTGGAGAAGGCAGAATCTCCAATTCTCCAATTCCACCCAAGACAAGAACCCCTCCTTTCTTAAGCTTTTCTCTTCCTCCAGTCCCTGCCTTATACAATTCTTTCTTTATCTCCCTGCCCCCCCCCAAGTAAGAGTCCTTGGTGAATGTTCTAGCACATATAACTTCACTATAGCCCACAGGTAACCGTCACCACCTGATACAACATCCTGAAGCATTCCTCACTTTACAGGTTAAGTCTGCCTGTGGCTATGAAACTTCTGCAGTACAAGATGGCAGAGAAAATAGCCTAGCCATTATAAAATGTATTCACTTTTTTCTTCACTACAAAGTTGCTATGCTAAATTTTGTAATGAATAAATATCTTATAGGGAGATATTTTGAGCTTATGCAAATATCTTGTTTCTCATAATACTTTAACCCACTAATTCTGGCCTCCATTGATAATCCTTACCTGCAACGGTGACTGCGGGAAGGATGAATTTGAATCATTTGTAGGAGAATAGATGCACCTTAAAATCATAATGCTAAGTGAAGTAAATCTGACACAGATGGTTAAATATCACATGGTTTCTCTTATGTGAAAAGGGAAGAGAAGGGGAAATAAAAAGAATCAAGTTTCCATATGTATGTGTAACAATTCCCCAGGATGAATGTATCTATTTTGTATTGCAAATATATACTAATAATAAAGAAAAACCAGCGACTGGTCTTGACAAATGGTGACTTTTTCTTTCTCTCTTTCTCTTTTTCTTTCTTTCTTTCTCTTTTTTAAAACAGGGTCTTGCTATGTAGTGCAGGCTAGCCTGGAACTTGTTATGTACCCCAAGCTGCCCTTGAGCTCTTGTACTTCCTGCTTTAGCCTCCTGAGTGCTGGGATTACAGGAATGCACCACCACACAGGGCTCTACAATTGGTAATTTTTCCATTGCCAGGATTCCCTCTACATTAATTAATTAAAATTCTACTATTAGGGAAAGTTCTTTCTTTCCCATTTATTTAATCATTTATGTATTTGCAAAGGAATTGTGGCTATTTGTTTTAACCTATAGGTTATAATCCACTCCTACCAGCATTTCCTTCAAATAATACAGCGTTGGAGAAGAGAAGAAAACATAAAGAGAACTCTGAAGGAAATAGGAATGGAAAATCTCAGAAGCAGACACTGCCTCTTGCACTGAGATACAGTCTTCAAAAGAAGGGTTCTTTAGGACTAAGAGATTGGTCCTGTTGGAGAGGGCATGGTTCCCAGATGAAGGGGTAATTTTACTAAGCTGCCATTCCCGCTGCACTAGGGGAAGGGGACAGCTCAGCCAAAGCATATGACAGTCATTGTGAGAGATTTTTGCACTCTCTCCTCCTCTTGCATTAACCATGAAGGTCACATATTGCAATATTAACACACCTTCTATCTTGTGTTCCTGAGCAACATCACGTGGAGTACCTGGCCAATTTGTATTGGACACATAACCAGAGTGGAAAATCAACTTTTGTTGTGCTCACCCACTGGAAATCGGAGGTTAATTTGTTCCTGTATCACAACCTCCTCGTCCATCCTAATCAGTTTTAAATCTTTACAGCCTTTGGGGAACGATGTCACACAGATGTAATACAGTATCTTGCTTTTTTCAAGTACTATATAAGCACAAAACAACTCAACTCTCATCTGCTGTAGTCTACAACCAAAGGAAGCAAAAGCTAACAAAAACTCAAAGAATAAATAAGGACTTGTTTCTATATGGTCAACTCTCAACATTTAGTTGGAGAATTGACTTTTGTTGATCTTCACTCAAGTAGACATGACAGCATTTTCCAACTGTTACGTGATCTTTTAAAGGCAAGTTTAGGGGCAGAAGCATGTATAGAAACCAGATGTGTGTTTTTTGGCCCCAACCACGTTGCTAGTCTTCACCGTTTTGTGTACTGAGCCAAGGCTATTAAGTTGCGCCAGCAGTGGGATTGGGGAATCGTAGCTGTCCTGGACCGCACCGTAGCCAGCCCGAGGGGCACAGCGCCAGAAGGCCCCGCCTCCGGCGCCCCATTTTCCCACGCAAGCATCCTCAGGTTCCCGCCTCCTCACGAGCCAGCCGCATGATCGCCTTGGGAGCGCGCAGCCCCGCCCTTTCTGGCACTTATGGTCTATGGAGGGCCGTTTGAATATCAGGTGGGCGGGGAAACCCCCAGGCGCCGTTCTGATTGGCCTGTTGATCTGTGTGGCGCTTGACGTTATTCCGACTCCGCACGTCGCGCGGCGTTTAAGGCGTGGCATCATCAGTTCCGGGCGCTTGAAGGAGACTCGGGGACGGCGGAGCTGTTCTTGAGTGTTTAGGTGTCGCCGCCGTCGTTACTGCCTGCGCTCCATGAGGAAGATGCTTGCTGCCGTCTCCCGCGTGTTGTCTGGCGCTGCCCAGAAGCCGGTGAGGCTGCCAGAGCGAGCGGGTCAGGGTGGGGCGCGAGCGGAGCCGCGGCGTGGCGGGAGGAGGGCGGGCGCGGAGTCGGAAGGAGAGAGCGAGAGAGGAGCCGCGATCTTTGTTAGTGTGCTCGGGCGCAGTACAGTTCCGCTCCTGGCCGGGGGAGAGGATCAGGAGGCAGGCGCCAGGCCTGTGGCGCTGGCCAGGAAGAACAGCGATCTATCGCAGCCCAGCTCTGCACCGGGCAAGCACGCGCGCTCCATAATTGCCCTTGGGTTTAGAGGACTTAGGAGTAGGGAGCGCTTGGCGTCTTCCGGTCTCCACCTGATTCCATTCATTTCAGATCTTCCTAATTTTGCTCTCTTGACCGAGAGGCTGTGTAGTACATAGCAATAAAGAGCTCGGAATCCACAGACCGAATTGCCATGTGCCAACACCGGGCTCACCATTTACTAGCCCTGTGACCTTAGGCGCCCCCCCCCCCTTTCAAAATGTCCTCGTACCCTATCCTCTCATTTCTAAAGTGGAGAAAATAAGTGTACCGTATTTAAGTGCCCACCTCGTTGGATTATCGTCAGGATTCAATGAGTGACACGTGTAAAACTTTCTGAACCGTGCCTGGCGCTTAGTTACCATTTATTTTGTGTATGTGCTGCTGAAGCGAGCACAAGTTACCATTTGTTTTGAATAGCATTACTATTTTTACTATTTTATGGAGTGCCCAGTTTGGTATATTTTTGTTGAACATTTGTGCTGGGCTCCGAGGAGAGTTCAGATAGGGTCAGGCTTGTGAAAAACTTCCCTCCCTCTCTTTCAACATCCGAGCTTTTGGCAGTCAATTCAAGAGCAATCTAGAACCCAGAGGAAACTGCCTTCACTCTTACACACATAGGCTTTGGGGTAAAAGCAGCTGTAGAAAACATCATGAAGGTTGAGGGTTAGAGGTTAAGGCTATTCGTGGCCCTTGCTTTTAGAAGTATGTAATACCTAAGCGTCTAGCATTTTGACATCTAGGCACAGCAAGATAGCGTTTCCAAAACTTTGACTTGTAATTCTAGTTCGCTTAATTTTCCCAGGACTTGCTGCAACTCTGAGTGTGTGGCAGAGATTGTCAGAGTTTGTAGGAAGTGAACTGCTATAGGAATCTCATTAATTATTGACAAAACACAATTTAGCTAATCAGATACTGTATCAACATTTGAATTGTAACTGGACGCATACTTCAGTTATGTATTTACGCATGTGTGCATGATAAATTCAGCATTTATTGAGGGTTTTTTTGTGTGTGTGGTACCTCAGGTTCAAACCCAGGTGCACTTGACCACTGAGCTACATACCCAGGCCTTATTTATTTTGAGACAGGTTTTCCCGAAATTGCTCAGGTTAGCCTTGCACTTGTGATCTTCAGTTTCAGTCTCCTGAGTGACTGGGATTATGAGTGTAACTGTATCGGGCTGTTGAACTGTTAATATGTTTCAGGCACTACAGTAGATAGTTGACGTGCTTTGTATCTAATTAAACCACATCAATTTTTCTTGGACCGTGAGTTAATAGGGACACATTTTCCACATTATACAGTGCCTTAGTTATGGGCAGAAATAAGATAGCTAAAGGTAGAGTTTGCTTGGACAAGGAATACAGTAGAATTAAAAATAAAAGCTTTGTTGAGGCTTCAACAGTGGAAAGGAAACCAGTAATGGAAAGGAAGAAAATTTCAAAGGTACTGCTGAAATCAAACTTGGAAGATTTCAAAAAATTGAATTGGAATTTGGAACTATTAAAAATATGTCAAATTTTGTACCTTTCTACCAGAGTTTTTGCTTTTAAGAGATGTCATCCCCTTTGGGAATAACTGTTGGTAGAAGGCAATACATCTTTAAATCTTTATTGTTAGAGTCTTTTGGTGGAGGGCATATTGGGGATCAGATCTGGGGTCTCAGGCCATGCTGGGTAACTGCTCTACCATTTAGCTTCATCCCTAGCCTTTGTCAATGGCTTGATGTATGTTTGTTATTTTTTCTGAAAGTCAGATTTATTATTTCCTATATTTGTAGGATTCTTTTTTCACGCCTTACAGCAGGAAGAAAATTGAATTTCAGAGATGAAATCACCTTAGAAAGTGCCCAGTTTTCTTCTCACTTTGTAGTGTAAACTCTTCAGATAATTAGTTTTCTTTGTGACTGTACTCAAGCGCTAGTTAGGAACCATTCCTGAAGCTTCTAAAGATAATCAAAAATTAAGTTTCACCTTTATCTTTTTAAACAGTGGAAAAATAAACTAATATGTCAACTATATTTTGTATAAATATGAAAATCGTTTTAAAGTATGATACAAAATAGATCAAGATTTTTATTTTTATATTGTACATGTAAAAAGACATTTTTATTTTATTTTTTTTAATTATGTAAGTTTTCTCATTAAATCAGACTTTTAAAATTTTTTATTAGTACATGTTTGCAGTACATAATGATTACATTCCTCATAGGGATTGGTACATGTTCATGACACATCTTAGTTCTTTATCATCTCCTCCTCTTCTCCCTCCTTCCATCTCTTGATACCCTTCCCATTTGAGAACGTTCTATCTCCCTACTTCCTATTATCTAGCTAGCTAGCTAGCTCTCAAAAAGACATTTTTAAATATAAGCCTTTTCCAAAAAATTCTAAGAAATAATTAGCAGTGGCTCACCCAAACTAGGCAAACTTGTGTACTTGCAGTTGTACCATCTGCTTGATACTTAGTGCAGGGAGAAAGGTTAGGTAGTTTGATGGCTATGACAGTTCCTGCCTAAAGTTATTCTTATCTTCTCTTGGAGAACTCTGCATGGCTTTTTCCTTTTGCATTTTTTTATTCTCTTATTTTGGAGGGATGGAGATTTGGAGATCTGTCTCTCAAGATTGAATTACCATTATCTCAGAATATTTGAAATGAAACTTTGGAATGAGTTATAAGACTGTGATTTCGTTTTTGAATGAGGTTGATAGTTTTTGAGGTTCTTCATGGAAGAATGAATTGCATTTGAAAATTTTATTTTCCTATTGTTTGTATTTCTGTTATTCCTTTTATGACATCTTTTCTACCATTATTCTTTTGGCTATTTGAGTAGTAGTTAAGGTGGTCCCCATCCCGTCCCCGCCCCCCCCCCACCGGAGATCAAACTCAGGACCTTGCACTTGCAAGGCAGGCGACGGAACCACTGAACTAAATCCCCAGCCCTAGTTAAGGTTTTTACACTGGCAGAATCTGGAATTTTAAAAATATTTTTCCTCCTTGAATAATTCCTATGTATTTAAGAAGTTAATGTATTTATTTTATTGAGTAAATTGTTCATGGTCTCTGTCAAAAAGGAATCCCATTTAGGGGCTGGGGACATAGCACAGTAGTAGAGCATGTGCTTAGCATGTGTAAAGCCCTGGGTTCAAGCCCCAGCAACAACAAACACGTTGGGGGAGGGCACTCCTATTTAACAGAGACTCTTACTGACTCTCCAAAGAAAATGAATGATAAAATTTCTTTTAGCAATCCCAGTTAAAATAATGATACACTTCTGATAGGACTTCTAACTTTTCTTTCTTTCACTTATTATATAAGTGGTTATGCTTATTTTTGAGATTCAGACTGTTGAAACTAGGTGAGAAAATAAACTTTCTGGAAGTCCTAATTTTTGCCCTTCCTGCTTTTTATTATATAGCACTGCCTGTCCTTCACTGTTTTGACTTTATGATTGAGAATTTACCTTTTCTCTGTTACTGTTGCCTAGCTAGTTTGGTCTCTATTTTTACATCATTCCAAAAACTGTAGTTTCTCTAGTTGTACATGGAAATTTATTTCACAATACAACAGATACTTCTGGCTCTGCAAAATAATTTTAACTGCCAAAAAACAAATCAGTTTCATGATTGCCAAACATAACCATTTGTTTGCTACTTCCTTCTCAGCTTTACTTCTTCCTAAATTCCTAAATTTTCTTCATTCTGAGACATGTTAGTGGACCCTACCTCTACAGGAGGTATTTATCTTTAGTACTTAAGTTTTTTCCCCCTTTGGCAGTTTAAGTATCAGTGTCTTTTTGTTGGCTTTATCAGATAACAGTATAGTAGTCCTCCCTTATCTGAGGTTTTGCTTTCCTTGTTTTCAGTTGCCTGTGGTCCACAGTGGTCTGAAAATACTAAATGGAAAGTTCCAGAAGTAAACAATTTATGAGCTTTATCTGCCATTGAGTGGTATGAGTGTCTACTTTAGAGTGTGAATCATCCCTTTGTCCAGGTCTCTACTCTGTATATGCTACCTCCCTGTTAGTCACTGAGGCGCCCTCTTGGCTATCACATCAGCCATCTCAGTCTTCCAGTGCTTGTACATCGGGTTCAGTACTACTGGTGATGTTAGGCATTTATTGGGGGTCTTGGAACATTTTCCCCTCTGATAAAGTAAAGGCATAAATAGCTTTCTGCCTACTGGCTTGTATACTCAGGGGTACATTTAGCAGGTTGATTGTAACTCTTAACCAAGATCAAGTCTAGAAGTTAGATGATAACAAACCAATTTAGGAGTATAAATCAAACATGCTTTTTATGGGATCTGATGAATATGCTTCACGTCTCCATGAAAAGATGTGCAGGTTTACATGTCAGGATGTGAAAATATGGCAGAAAATGGCTACAATAGTACAGCAATGCTAATTTAAGTCTTTGGGGTCTAACCTGAATCTTAGCCATCACTAGAATACTTTTATTGTGACCAGGTCTATTCAGTTGTAAGAATGTAAATAAATTATTTCTAAGTAGTGATAGCTACCCAAGAAGGGAACACTTTTAGACAACAATTTTCCTTTCTGACGTTTTAGGAGGTGCCTGCCCAAGGTGTAGGCTGTTCATATTGTCAAACAGCTGGCTTAGGTCCATTATTTTTAAGTCAGAGTGCTAAATAGCTTTGCTTCCATCTTGTATGATTTTCACTACTGTATTTCTTTCCTACTTTGAGTAGTTCAAAGTATTTTTCTTTACAAGTCTATGTCATAGAAAAGTGAAGTTTACTTGGAATAGAAATTAACTGATAGCTTTATTTGAAGTATGATTTTGAAAATGAACTTCTAGATTGTTCAAATGAAGATTATCATGTTATGACTAAGAATAGCACAAATAAAGCCCGCAGATTATTTAGTGTCTTCAACTTGACCACTGATTTCATTATAATCTCACTATAATTTCTTTGAAATAAAAAGACAAAGTGTATGGGTTTGGCTTTTGACACTATTCTCTTTGCTTTTTGATAGGGGTATGATCATGCTTCATTGGTTAAAGCATGGATTTATTTTAGAAGGTGAAGATACCAGCGTAGTGAACAGAAGAGAAGTCTATGAACATTTTGGGGCTTATTAGTTTCATGACTACCTCTTGCTAACTGATTAATGATGATAATGACTTTTTAAACAGTAAAAAAATTACTGATTTGTGTATTTTTATTTTTTTAGGCAAGCAGAGTGCTAGTGGCGTCCCGTAATTTTGCAAATGATGCTACATTTGAAATCAAGGTAAGAGGTGTTTTATTTTGTATTTCCATAGGTATGCTTTGGTACAGTTTTACATTTAGAATGAAACAATAATCATACTCATTTTGTTATTTTCTTCCAAATGTTCCAGAATCAAAAGTTTAAAGAAGTTTAGCAAAGAAAAGTATTTCTTTTCAGTAGTTTGCTGGTGGCTGGGGGAGGGGACTTAAATAAAACTTACTCCAAAGTTTAGGATGTGATTCAGTAAAACATTTGAAAAAGAAGATTCTTAGATGTCTCTTTGAAAATTCATCTTTCAGTCTGTAACTCAGTTGATTTCTAGGGGTTTTCAATGAAAATGAGATCTTAGATCATGCCACCCCCATCCCATTGCACAGTGAGGTTTATAGATTTAAGGAACCAGGAGCAGTATGACATTGCTGATGTGCTCCTTTGCTGTTTTTCAAGTTGAATATCATTTGTGAGGGAGTCGACCGTGTTTGCCATGCGGTAACTAAAGGATGACGACCTTACTTCATTTCAGAAATGTGATCTTCATCGGCTGGAAGAGGGCCCACCTGTCACCACAGTGCTCACCAGGGAGGATGGACTCAAATACTACAGGATGATGCAGACCGTGCGTCGAATGGAGTTAAAGGCAGACCAACTGTATAAGCAGAAAATTATTCGTGGTTTCTGTCACTTGTGTGATGGTCAGGTGAGTGGTAGCTTTGTAATTAACTGTGTTATTTAGGTTTTTAAAGATAGTTTCTGTTCATTGGTTTTTTACTCTACTTTTCAGATTTGAGGCTGGTATTTTATAATAAAAACTAGAATGCCAAAACACTATGAAGTTTAGGCTAAAACATTCATTCACATGTAACATCCTGTACCTGTTCTTAGATAGAATTTGATTATTTTGAAACTTTCTGGCATTGCGTTAATCTGTGCTGTATACCTTCTTTGGAGAAAGGGTTTAGGCCAAAGGTTACAAATTCAAATGTGTACGAGGCCCAGCTAGGTATAATGAGTGAATGAAGAAAGCCAGGTATGCAAAACATGGAAAATGGTGACAGCAACCAGTGGTAAACTGGGATGGGTACATCCTCCCCAGAAGGGCCCCCTGACTTGGTTCTAGCCAGTTTGTACTAGGTGGAAATAATGGGCTAAGGCTTCCTATTACTTGTTTTTTCCAAGAATAGACAGAAGATTGACTTTTCATATGACATTCCTTCCATGTTTTAACATTGACATCTGACTCAGGATCTTTTTTTTCTCTTTTGGTGGTGGTACTAGGGATCAAACTCGGGCACTTTATCACTGAGTTATGTCCTCAGCCATTTTATTTTGAGATAGTGTTTCACTAGGTTGCAGAGGTGAAACTCAAACTCATAGTCCTCCTGCCTTAGTGCTCTACTGTGCCCAGCTCTTTGTTTTGTTTTGTTTTTTAATCACTGTACAGGCCAAAGTAAACAGCACATCTGCAGGTTATTAGTTTATAGCTTCTGGTTTGAGCCTGGCCCTTCACTTTGCTTTTGATGGAAAATAGCCACTTTCTGTAGTTATTTTGACTAGTTCTATTCACTCACTGTAGAAATCAGCCTACAAGCTGAGATCAAACCTGACCAAGGGGTGACACAGATGAAAAATAAAGAGACACAGAAACACATTAAAATCTGGGTGGCAGGATCGGGGATTTAGCTCAATGGTGTTGCACCTGCCTGGCAAGCACAAGGTCCTAAGTTCCATCCCCGGTACCAAAAAAATCTGGGAGGCCAAGGGGCTCATGTCTCCCTTCGACATAGAGCCCCCAACGACTGGTGCACCTTGGCTTTATTCAATCAGACACCAGCACAGGCAATTAGAGTTCCACAGGATTCATCTGTCTCCCACCTTGCATGGTACCTCTCCTGTTAAACAAGTTAACCTCAGGTGTTTTTACTTTTCCCTGCAGCATGTTAGCACGTTTGTATGCCCTCTGTCTCCTCAGTGCCTGCTGAAGAGCCCAATTAGGCCTCATTCTTGCCATTTGGTCTCCACACAGGTTTCATAACATAATGCTTCATGGCATTTGGTCTAATAGAAACGTTTTTATCCAGAAATGTGTATTATGTTACCTCAAGGTTTCTTCCCCCTTTAATGCAGGAAGCCTGCTGTGTGGGACTGGAGGCCGGCATAAATCCTACAGACCATCTGATCACAGCCTATCGGGCTCATGGCTTTACCTTCACTCGGGGCCTTTCCGTCCGGGAGATTCTAGCAGAGCTAACAGGTTTGCTATGGATTTACAAAAGGCAGGAGTGAGTTGATTGCATTTTCAAACATCTCCCAATAAGATGCTGACTGTTTGGAGTGTTAAAATCTATTTTGAGTTTAATATTAAAAGGAAAACCCTCTGATTTAGTTCTCTGGTACCTCTATTATGCCAAGTAAATGGACCATTTGTGAGGTCATCTGGCCCTCAGGTAAAAATTTTAAAAAGGTTAATGCTATACAGTACAATGAGAATGCAGTTTGTTCTCACTGTAGCACGCCATCAGAAAACCAGAAGTCATAAAATAAATTGGGTTGAAGCACTCCACGGTATACAGTGTAGGGTCTAGGAATCTTTTTAATATTCCTTGTCTCCCTTGACTCTTAAATTATGTAGGGCATGGGATTAATCTGACTTTCCTTATTGAAGGACAGGAAGATAAGGAGGAACCTAGGTTTTAATTGAGGGACAGATGTTTGATTGAACTGGCCTCGAGAGACATGGGGTGTGGTTGTTTGCTTTGTATATTTGGTTTTTCATGCATGCACAATGTACTGCCATTCCTAGGACGAAGAGGAGGTTGTGCTAAAGGGAAAGGAGGATCTATGCACATGTATGCCAAGAACTTCTACGGGGGCAATGGCATCGTCGGAGCTCAGGTGGCTGAGTATGAGGATCATATGCTTCTATAGATTTGATCCTGGCCCAGGATTTCAGTACTTTAGAAACTTGGTTTGCTTTTAAAGACCTATTGCTTTTTACCCTACCATATGAGCAATTAATAAGTACATTTGGATAGTGATTTAAAATTTATTTTTTAGGTATTTGTTTTATAAGTAAGCAAAAGCCTCTAGCAGGGAACTATCTTTTTACCTTTCTATATTTCAGTATGTTAATTGCTTCATCACATCAAGTTTGCCCTCTGTCTGCATGCTCCTAGGTAATGTTAACACTGGGGCCAAACTAGAAGGTGGGGAGTTCAGAATCTCAGGGGCGAATTAACAGCATACAATTATTTATAATAGAGTAAGATTCTATTAAATGTTTTAAATCTGGATTTTCTTTTTTTCTTTATTTTTTGGTACCAAAGATCAAACTCAGGTCCTTGTGGTTGCAAGGCAGGCTGCAGAACCACTGAGCTAAATCCCCAGCCCTGGGTTTTCTCTTTTGACTAGGATTCATAGTTGAATCTTTGGGTACAAAAATGGCCAGCTGGTCAAAACATAGTATTTATTCATGTTACTTTACTGGTTGGCTGAAAATATTGGGGCGAGTGAGCAAAGACAGGGTTGGGGTAGGAAGAGTTTGTAGCAACAGTATAATTCTGTCTCAAATTCTGTCCAGGAGTTAATCTTCTCCCTTGATGGATTTCTGTGGTTCCTTTCTCCATCATCCTTAATGTTAGGTGCCCCTAGGAGCTGGGATTGCTCTGGCCTGCAAGTACAATGGAAAAGACGAGGTTTGTTTGACATTATATGGCGATGGTGCTGCTAATCAGGTAAGTACGTATCTCTTCACTTTCCAGTGATGATTTTATTTCCAGAGCTTGAAAGTTTACAGTTAAGTTTGTAAAGAAATACAATGTTGCTTATAGCATTTCATGTGGCAAGGTGATATTTAGTTTTGATGCTGTATTGGAGAGGTACCTCTTGGCCCATTTCACCAGAGCCTTATGGGGTGCATTCCTATGAGGGAGTTCTTTTTCATTGTACATCAGTGCTTCGCAAGTGTTCTGTGGTGAAGGACATTTTTTTTTCCTTTTAAATGTCTAACCCATTGCAAACCAGTATTGTAATATAGAGGTTAATTTTCTGGGATCCCACAGAAATGTCAAATTCCTATACTAGTGTCTGAGCCCACCCCTTCATTTGCTCAGTTTATGTAATCACCAGTCCGTGGAAGGTACTCAGTGAAGCCATGTTCTAGACGCCCATTCTCAGATGCTGGTTCATTCTGATTATCCAGTGGATCTGGTAAATTTTAATAAATCATAAAACACATTTTTACATTTGGATTTTTTTTTCCAGACTACTCTGTCCTACTAGTGGGTCCCCAAAGAAACAAGTCATGGTATTTGTCACTTCCCTTAGTTCCAAGAGTATGATGCCTGCTGCTTCTCCCCACTGCCCCCAACATGTCCCTTTCCCTTGCCACCAGGAACTTGGTTAGAGAAGAAGATGAGGCTTTTTAGCCTTCAGGAAGTTGCAACAACTTGAGGCAGAACAACAGCTGTCAGGTATGATGAGGATGAAGTACAGAAAAATAAGCAAAATGAAACCACTTGAACTTTTTGTAAATACTTCTAGGGTCAGATATTTGAAGCTTACAATATGGCAGCATTATGGAAATTACCTTGTATTTTCATCTGTGAGAATAACCGCTATGGAATGGGAACATCTGTTGAGCGAGCCGCAGCCAGCACTGATTACTATAAGAGAGGCGATTTTATTCCTGGACTGAGGGTAAGAACACCTGTTGCAGACCCAGAGCCCTTAGCTAGATGCCCTTGTGCAAACTTTTGACAGTCTTAGAAAAATTGAAATGTTTCACTCTCTTACACATGAATGGGTGGTGTCAGTAAAATGGGAAAGCTGGAGGGTGTGGCTTAGTGGTAGAGTACTTGCCTAGCCTGCATACAGCCCTGGGTTCTACCCCCAGTATCCCCCCGCCCCAAAGAAAAGAATGGCTCTGGGCAGTTTGATTTATGTTTCTGCTCCTTCCACCTTTATTAATAGGTAGATGGAATGGATATCCTGTGTGTCCGAGAAGCAACAAGGTTTGCAGCTGCCCATTGTAGATCTGGGAAGGTAAGGCTCTACAGAGACTTTCTCTTAGGCTTCTGGGCTAAAAATTTCCGATGATGTTTATGTCTTTTAAAGTTAAAAGAAGGCGTCCCATGTGCCTTTTGTAGCTACTCAGGTGTGGCTGCTAATTGAGGTATATAAGATAGAAGCAGAGTCCAGTCAGGTGAATGAGTAAATATGAATAGAGTGTGCCTAAGAAACACTCCACACTTCCTTCATTTGAGGTTAACTGTTCTAATGCTTCCTAAGCATTTTGCCTCTTTTCATCATGGACAATCTGTTTTGACTTTTGGAGGTTCATTATGTGTGCTCCCCCCCCCATTTAATCATAAGCCACTTGAGTGACGAGATTGGGGATCCTGCCCAATACCTAGCTAGGAACTTTGCTTATGTAATAGGCATTCAATAGAAACTTGTTTTCTACAAATTAAACAGCATGATGAAAGTGTCTAATCTTACTCTTGTTGCATCAGTCCTTAAGAATCTTTAAGGTTTAGTATATGGAAGTGAGTGAGAAGGGAACAGTGAGATTGACCTAAAGCATACCTTCATCATTGGTAGAAATTTAGTAGTAGCTCTCCCTAAATCATTGTTCCACAGCTCAGAAATCATGCCCATGTGATTTACCTAACAGTGACAGTGACATGCCATGTGTGTATGTTTGGGCAGTAATGGAAATCAGCTGTGGTTAGCAGTGATGAAAATGTCGAGGAGGGAAAAGAAGCCGGGAGGAAGATGTAGAGTTCTATATTAGGACCATAAGACTAAGGGAAGATAGAATGAGACAAGGGGATGGATATCTTGCAGATGGGAAGGGGTCCAGGGGACCAAGGGCAAGGGGGGAGGGAGGGGTAAGAGATGGAGAAATAGGTAGAGTGAAGATGCACTAGGTTCAAGGTCCTAATAACCTCAATGAACGAGGACATTATATGCTATAAACATGAATTAAGGGGTAAAGGGGGACTAGAGGGGATGGGGAGGGAAGGGTTTTTTTAAAAAAGGTATATTATGTACATGTACCAACTCAAGATGATTATAAAATGCATGTACTAGTGGAAAAAAAGGACTTAAGGGGGCCAGACCCTGGCAGGTGGGTATTATCCCCATTTCTCCCAGTTTTTGGAAAGGATATGTGGGGTTTAACCTTGGTTAACAGAAATGGAGCTTATAGGATGTGATGACTAAATCCTGATCTTGGAACTGAGGGAAGGTTTGGAATCCTCCTTGTCTCCCTGGCCCAACCCGCTCTGATTCCAAATGGCTACACCAAGAGAGTGACAGTTGAAGGATTGATATATATTGGGTAGTGTACTTTTTAGGTGTTTTTAAATCTTTACAATTCTGACTTAGGTATTACTGTTTTGCCCATTTTACTGACAAACTGAGGCACAGCAGTTCAAGCACATGGCTACCATATCTTAGAGCCAGGATTAGAACCCCCAAGCGCTTGGACTGAGCCAGATCCCCACCACCACCCTTAAGTACTACACCAAACCACCCAGACTCCTCTGTCCATCCCCTCCCTTCAGGATACACTCTGGAAGTAGGCTAGTATGACATAAGCAAGCCACTTGGTGCTGCACAACTGGGCTGGCCAGATTCACAGCATAGTTGTTAGGATCGAGGTATCAGATCATTGGTGTCTGCTGGCTTTCTTTACACACCAGCAAGGTCCGGATGAAGTGAGATTGGCTGCCAGCCCCTATAAACACTGCATAAACTGGAGCAAATTTACTTAGGTAGAAATGAGAATCTGCCTATCCAGTATCTGGGCTCTGTAATGTGTTCAGTATTTTTTTGATTGAAAACAAACTGTTGGCAGATTGCTTCACTAATGTCCTAGATGGATGAGCTATAAACCTATTCAGGAGACTGAAGGCAGGAGAATCGAAAGTTAAGGGTCAGCCTGGCATACTTAGTGAGATCCTGTCTCAAAATAATAAAAAGGGCTGAGGATGTAGCTCGGTAAGAGCACTTGTATAGCAAGTGTGAAGCCCTGGGTTCAGTCCCCAGTACCACACACACACAAGGCTGAAATGGGCAATAAAATAGGTCTCAAAAAATTCCTGACAACTTAGCTGATTTATAGATGATCTGATCAGAATATATTGGATACTGCAAGGGTCTTCCTTTTGAGGTGGAGGACTGTTGGCATGCTCTTCCATCATCTTACTGTCCACTGATGGGTCCTGTTTTAGGGGCCTATCTTGATGGAGCTGCAGACTTACCGTTACCATGGACATAGTATGAGTGATCCTGGAGTCAGGTACCGTCATGGGGTATATGTGTGTGGATCCCAAAGTGGGGGGGGGGGGCGTTGAATGGTGTTTCTCATATGAGAAGGCAAAACATTTCAGCATTTGCTTTTGAAATTATTTCATTCAAGTTTTGTTGGCACCAGGTAGTTATTTGAGTTAGTCTGAAAGCAGTGGTCCTAATAAATTGGTTCCAATATAGAAAGCATTCTGAAGATCCCTACAGTATGTAGTATGTGTTAGCTGAGAAGTAATTTTTTAAAAAACATTATATAACTAAATTGCAGAGGGAAATTGTAACATAAAACAGGTCTACTGGGAAAGTAGCATGGGGGGGGTGTTTAGGCATTACCAGAATTTACACATGGAAGACTCTGCCCAAAGAAGATTAGGATTTGGAAATGTTCTGGCTGGAAGGGAACAAGGCTCACTGGCTTATGGAGTGTTCAGTAATCACATATGTGGTAATCAAATAGGTGGGTTACATAGGAAAGTATGAGATTTCCTTTTTCACATAGTAGCTCTAGCATGTAATTCTGCAATTGCAGCTTCAACACAATTGAAAAGTTAATTTAGTTAAACAACGCTTTGTAGTATGTATTTTTAAGGGAAAATGTAGAGAGCAGTTTTTATAAATAGAACCCTTTTAATCAGTGTTATTTCAAATATGTAGGAAAAGGATATACAGTATTATACAGTCTAGAATTGGAAATCCTGATAACCAAGTATTTGCCAGCCATGCATTTTGTTTCCTTGGTATTCTGATGCCTCTAAGTCTATAATTATCACTGCTGCCCCACCCACGTAAAATATGAGTCCAAAGAGGTGGGACATGTGACACTACTTCTAGATCAAGGAAGCAAACCAACAGTTAGCCTCTGTTATCAAAATGCAAGAGAAGCCCCGTGAGTTACAGAGTACAATTTTCTATAAAAGATAGTCAGCTTTTACAAGCTATTAGCTGCCTTCTTGTGTTCTCAAAGTTTGCCTGTGCTCTTCCCACAAGTAACATTGGTATTGACATGCCCCTTCCTTTCCAAAACATACTGCTGTATTTCACTAAGCTATCACTGTTTCCCTCCCCATAGTTATCGTACACGAGAAGAAATTCAGGAAGTAAGAAGTAAGAGTGACCCTATTATGCTTCTCAAGGATAGGATGGTGAACAACAATCTTGCCAGTGTTGAAGAATTAAAGGTACAGTCACTCATGGTGGTTTTAAGTCTGGCTTTAAAGGTTGGCTTTCCTTTCTCAGCAGTCTTCCCCACCCCCCCCCAAAAAAAGTTGCCACAGAGTTATGGGTGAGTTTGTTCAAACCAAGAAAGTGATGTGAAATTTCTCAGGGATATTCTTAAGATTTGATGAGGACTGAACTGCCTAATAGGAAAGTATGTGTTATCACAAGACACCATATTGGCAAAAAAGCCTTTAAACCTTCCCCTAATTGCAGAGTTCTTTTTTCTTAAAAAAACACTTTGGATTTTTAATTCATAGCCAGCCCCTAGGTTAGCTACCTGTGTAATTTTGTCAACTGTTGGCACTTTTAGTACTAGAAGAGTTACATTTATACCAGCAACAGGTTCTGAATAGAATTCTAGTTGGCACTTAAATTGCTGTTTATTCAGAAATCTCTTGTGCTGTAAAATGTTTAGGAAATTGATGTTGAAGTGAGGAAAGAAATCGAGGATGCTGCCCAGTTCGCCACAGCTGATCCTGAGCCACCTCTGGAAGAACTAGGCTATCACATCTACAGTAGCGACCCACCCTTTGAAGTGCGTGGTGCCAACCAGTGGATCAAATTCAAGTCAGTCAGTTAATAGGAAACCACATGTAATGGATGGGCTGGCTATTCATCAGCAACTGTAAGGAACTCTGTGAATATCCAAAAACTACGGTATAAGTCTTGGAAACTTTTAAAAGAATAAATAGCATGTAAATTATATTAATGACAGTAATCGCATGCAGGTTGTGCTTAAGTGCTTCATGTGAACCTATGAAGAGATCTGTATGGTTTAAAACAGGTAAAAGAGTATTATCTTCCCCCAAATTATTTCCTAAAATATTTCTGTTTGTCCAAACAGAGTAATTCTTTGTATGCCTTTGGGTGGAGATCACTGGCCTTGAGTAATTGCTGTGTTCTCAAAGGGCCCACAGGTAGTGTGGGGGCAGAAGACTGTTCACACTGGTTGTTTCTCCAACAATATTTATTATTACAAATAAGAAAGGATAAATATCTTAGTATAGATTCAACATGAAGTTATCTTAAGTTACATTCCTATTAGACAATAAATATAAGGCACATTCATAACTGTTTTTATCTTTCACATTTAATCCTAAAACGGGGTACCCGGCCTCTTATTTTAAACACCTGTTTTTTTTACTTTCCATCAAGTACTATAGGGTGTCATGAATTTTATTCATTTATTCATTTCTAAGAACTTCTAATATACTGGGATATCTAAAGATTCACTATCATATTACGTATACTTCTATAAATCTTTAAAATGTTTATAAATAGACTAAAACCTTTCAGTAAAGACACTCTTTAAAACTTCAAGTTCTTGAATTAATTGAACAAGTCTTTTGTAAGCTCCGTTGTAAACTCAGTAGAATTTGCATGTATGTAGACTGAAGCATAAACATGTCAACTATTTGCTCACGCTGTCCTCGGGTGCAGCTGCAGTCCCTGAGGACTCCTGAGCCTGTCTTCTGTACTGGGAGATCGCTTGCCAGAGCCTACAGAGGACACCACCCCTGGGAAACAAGGAACAAATAAGAGTTGTAAGAAAAGCAAATTTCAAATTAAAAATCCCAAATATTTTGTCCTTACGACAAAAAGTAAAGTATATAACATTTGCCATTTATTCTCAACTAACTTCAATGTATGAAGGTGATACTTGTGCCCCAGCACTGGTAGGACAGGCTATCTAAAATGGCATGGGAATAAGAGGGCACATTGCCATTTAAAGAGCTGAGTGTAGTGTGCTAGCACCTCATGCCTTTTACCAACTTGAATCCAGATTTGGGAGGGGGTAAGTTACCAGCACTTTGTTTTCTACTTTATTTAAAAGTATATTTACATGAAAAAAGTTCTATTATACAAACTGTGTTGAACGTCTTACCGTAGTTGAAGGCACCTTAGGTCTTCCTTAGTGATATTATTAAGAATATCAGAAAGAGTATAATCCTCTTCAACAATCTGAAACAAAGTTGAAGTACATGAGAGCTTTTTGACATCATAGGAATCATTTTTGATTATGAATCATTTTTGATTATAAATGTACCTTTTCAATTGTATTTGCATCTGCTCCTTGCCCTTGCAACCAGGCTATAAGCTCATTATTTGTTCCCTGCAAATGAGGGGGTGCTGGGATCTCTGCAGTACCTGTAATGATTAGAAGCTTATTGTATATTAATGTGCTTTTTCAAAAGTAAAATGGATGTAAGAAACTATCCAGATGTAAATGTGACGTGAAAAGTTGAATTAAACCTGTATTATTCAGCTGCTCTATACATATTATACAATTCAGAATTCTTGGGTTTTACAGAGAGCAGAATCATCCTTACCTACCCTACCTTTAATAAATATAGAATTTGACATTGTCCATTTCAATTTAAATGCTTATAAACTGCTTTATCTTAGGATGTACTGTATCTCCCTAACTGCACTGGAAATCAAATGAGAAACCAGGTTTTGTGTGAGAGCTTATCCATTTCACATTATAAGTGGCAACTGTAGCCCTTCTAAGTGTCACAAAATGAGAGGTTTACTGAAGTATAATTTACACAGCAAACCACCCTTTTTAAGGTGTACCTTGGAAAATCATGTCATTACTCCCACAATCAAGGTACATTTCCTTATCTCAAGAGGTTCTCGTGTTCTTTTATAGTTTGTTCCCTTTCCTATTCATTTATGTATTTTCTGTCCCTATATTTGTGCCTTTTCCACAGTACTGTGTGAATAGAATTACAGTATATAGCCCTTGAATCTGGTTCTTTTACTCAGCATACTGCATTTGCAATTTATTCATGTTGTTGAATAGAGCAGTAGTTCCTTTCTTTCTTACTCCAGAATCTACTAGAGTTCTGGTTTAACAGAAGATAACCTCAACTCTTTCTCTAGGGCTGACTAGAATATTAGCCAGCTTTTAAGTAGTTTTTCTCTCACATGCAAACACATCTAAGGTAGGGCAAATGGAAAATGACTTACCATTACTTTTGTATTGTAACTGGAGGTGATGCAGTTGTTGAGTTTTCTGTTCTAGAGTTAGTTGGAGAAAATTCTGGTACTCTCTCTCTTTTTGAACTAGGTGTTCCAAAAGTCTGGTTTAAAAAGAAAAAAGAAAACCAAACATGCCATTCAGAGAGACCAGTACCATCTAATCCAACTCAAACATTTGTTGAACATTAGAGATTTGGGGACACAGGGGGCAATCCTAACAGCCCACAGAGGGAAGTAGATGCTGAGTCAGGTTTCAGCTTGTATAGGGGAACCGTCCATGTGTTTTTCCTCCTCTTGGCAACAGGTGTAGGTATATTTTTGCAAAGGAATGTTTGTGTCCTCCTGAAATTCTTCTGTTGAAATCCTAACCCCCAAGGTACTATTTATAAGGGTGGACTTTTGGAAGGTTAAATTACTACCCTTATGGAAAAGATCCCAAAGACTCCCTTGCCCCTTCCATCATGCAAGGATACAGCAAGTAGCTGGCTGGCTGGCTGGCTGTGAACCAGGCAGTGGGCCCTTACCAGATATTCTTTCAGCACCTTGGTCTTAGACTTGAAGTCTCCAGAACTATGATAAATACCTCTGGTAAGCCACCTACTTTTATGGGATTTTGTCATAGCAGCCTGAATGGACTAAGAACAGTGGAGAATAACTTTTGAATCCATATATAACATGAATTAAGTGGTTATAAATCTGAGAAAAAGTTTTGGAAAAACGGTTTTACCAGCTTTCATATTTTGAAACTTTCAAAATTTTGCCACTACCATTTAATAATTCTAGGTCTTTTCTTTTAAAAAAGAAATTATTACATCTGCCTGAAATTAAACTTCAGAGACTCCTATGGGTGTATATGACTTTTCATCCAAAGTATGTATACCTGGTACTTTATCTTTCCATTAAATAAGAAACAGCATCACTAGTGATCATATGGCAACAATACATCATTTGGAACAAGCACCAACTAGTTTGCTATAGCTGTGGAGTCTCTTTTCTAAAAGCACATGGTAAAAGTGATTCCCCTTTACTCTGGAGAATCTGGAAGAATCACATTATTCATTCAACAAATAATTTTGAATACCTACACCTACTACATGCTGGGGCGGGGGAGGGGGAACATTATGGCAGTGCCAGGGCCCCCTGGTTAGGGAAGCAGTCCATTGATGGCTTCCTGGGGAGTATGACATATCACCAGAGAGATAAAAAGGCAGATTTCTTTGGGGTGAGGGGTATGGAATACACATCCATTGCCCAAATGCAAACTGAGCTCCAAACTCTGCTACTTCAGGGAAAGGCTACAGATGTCCACTGTTGAGCTTGCTGGGCCACACCATGCTATGGGAGGTGCACCATCTTGGTAAAGACAGAGAGCTCTAATATTACTGCTTTGTGTGGCCTATGGCAAGGCACTATGCCTGTCTAATTCCTAATAGTACAAAGCTGTGAATACATCCTTGTCACGTGTATCGACAGTGAAGGTGCTTTTTTTTCTGAGAGCTGGGTGAGATCCTCATCAATTATCTTGTTGGTTCGGGTCATCGTCCCACCCCTGCTTCAGGCAGATGGGCCAAAATGGAAGGTCCTCACCTGATGGTCTCCTCCTTGAGCATGTTCAGCTGGAGGCCCTGCTGCTGCTCCTGCTCCTGCTCCTGCTCCTGCTCCTGCTCCTGCTGGGGTGGGGCCTCTTGCATAACCACCGAGCCATGTCTTCTCTTGGATGCCACACATGCTTCACCACCAGGCAGGTGTGCTAGGGAATTGTCCTCTTCCATTTCATCCATGCCGTTATCTCCTTCCATCTCAGAGGGAGGCTCAAAGTGGGCTCGGAGCTCTGCAAAATCAGACCATGGTTATCAAAATACTATGTCAACAAAGCCTGGCCTGAATGTCATTTATGTTCCCTGCTGGCAAACTAGGCTGTTCAGCTGGTTGGGACACTGACACTCAGGGGAGTGCTGACTTTGAAAGGACAGGAAATGATTTCATTTGGTCCGCTGCAGTGCAAAGATGATCACCCCCAGCTTACACAAGAAGGAACTGAATTAAAGATGTTAAGGAAATTAGCTAAGGAGCCAGGCCAGTGCCTGCTCAAGTAGGAGAGTGGAGAGTCCTAAGGTTCACTGTGCCTTTCCTGTCAGCTGAGCCTGGGCTGGAGAACATTCAGGAGATCAGACAGACAGATAACCAGCAGCTGCCCAAAGTAAAGTGACACTATGAGCAGAATCATTCTAGAGTCTCCATTCATAAAAAGTACCACTGCATGAGAAAGCAACTTTGGTATTAAGCTGCTTTAACATTTCAAAAAAAAGTCTACAAAAGCCCAAGATTGGGGCTGGGGCCATAGCTCAGACAGACATAGAGCATCTGCTTAGCATGTATAAAGCTCAATCTCCAACACCAAAAAAACAAAAACTATAAATTTCATGGGTACCAAAGGATGATTCTTAGAAGAAACAGAGCCATTGAATTATAGCTATCTAGTAAGCACTTATGAGCAGGCACACTGAAATGGACACTGGAGGGCCCCTGCCCTTGGGCTCAACACTCCCTTTTTAGAGCATAAGTTTAGTGTAGGTGCACCTGGATTGCACCTTGGGAACAGGTAAATACAACACCGTGAGATGTTCTTGGCCCTTGAAGGAATCTATGACAGGAGTCACTTAATTGCAAGAAGTACAAAGCCAAGATAGAAAAAGCAACAATTGTTGAATCCAGAGGATATTTTTGGTTTTTCCCACAGCCTGAAGCCAACCCTGACGACAAAAAGGGCACTTACCTGGGGTGAGAGTGGTGTCTGCAGCCTGCACTGCTCTGTGGGTGATGTTGTCCATTGCAAACATACAGTGGGGCCTAATTAACTGGTTCCTCAAAATTTTATTTACCTAAAATCACAAAAATCCAAATATTTTTTCTTTTGTACTTTTAAGAAATACAAGTTCTTTCTTACTAATTTGTTTCTACTCTGTCTGAGATTGTTAGGCATGCTGACCTGAATTTCTGCCGACACATTTGTTCTGAACTGTCTTCTAGGCTAATAATAGCAAACCTTTTAGAGACCGAGTGCCCAGACTGCAACCCAAAACCGACTTATTTATCACAATGTGCCAACACTGCAATTAAATCTGAATACTGAGGTTTAGTTTTATACATTAAAAGAAAAACACAATAACAGACCTTTCAGTGATACAGCCTGTTGTGGCATGTGTGCCATAGGTTTGCCACTGCTGCCCTAGGCTGACCCTAAGTCATGCTGGGACCTAGAAGATGGACATTTATTGCACACCTATGAAATGAGACTGCAGTGGAGGCTTGGGACACAAAGATGAACCAGAATGGTCTTGAGCATGGAGGAACTCACATCTGTTTAGGCAGACACATAAGCTTGGACTCTGTACCAACTCTACTGGCAGATTCCATGTGTTTCCAAAACTTACATGCATGCTCATTGTGGCCAAATGCAATCAGCCCATTCACCAGGTGACATTACCTATATCCTCAGTGTTTTGAAGGAACTGCTGAAATTCAGGACTTGGATATAAATAGGTAAGAAGAAATTGATTGAATTCCATGGTCTAGCATGTGGTCTAGGGCCAGATGGAGCACTTACAACATCCTGGAATCCAGACAGTACTAGGTGAATCTGACTGATGGATGAGCTGTCAAAATCTAGATCCACCTTTAGCTTTGATATCATGGATGCCATCACCCTGTGGTCTGGGGAGTGGATGAAGTCCCTCAGCATCCCAATTATTTACTCGGTGTGAGCAACAGAGAGATGCATCTCTTCTGAACTCTGACCATACACAGACATGAATCATCATTGAATTGGGGGAGGGGGTAGAAAATTCAAAATGTATTGTGGAAAACTAGATTGTCCATTTGCTAATAGAATTGTGGAATCCCCTGGGGGAGAAGAAAGTCTCTGTTCCTGGGATTCCCTCCATGTTCTTCCTGTCCAGGTCTTCCCTGTTGCACACAGCCTCACCAAGCTCTTCTGAATGGTTCCATCTTCCTGTTTTACCCCTCATCAGGACCCTCATCAATGGGCCATCTCAGAAAGCCTAGTTCATAGTGGGGCAATGGCCTCTTCCTAAAAGGACCTTCCCCGGTCCAAAATAGGGGAAGGCAGATCAGTTTGTCTCTACTGTGTCCTAGTTAAAACTCAAATTTTCATCCATAACCATTCTCCCTAACATGGCTGTTCTCCCGGCTTCTGAGGGCCGCTTTAGTATGTGCTACAGCTGGAGAATAACTCAGCCCCAGGACTCAAAACCAAGGTAAGTTGAGAGGCCAGACACTGGGAACTCTTTCTGTTGTCATCTGGCTTGTTTTCCACCAGAGGGCAGCAACACCTCACAAATGCCTGGAAGCACTGCAGTGTTCTGCAAATTGGCTTTACAGCAGGGTCCCCCCCCCCCCCTTGTATCTTTTTTTTAATTTTGTTGCGGAAGGGAAGAATGTTGGGAAATATTTACGGTGATCATTGTAATTGTGCAAATATTCCAAGGTAGAGGAACCTTGGGCCTTGTTTAGACCTATCTGGGATCTTGAAGACAGGCAGAAGGGGACAGGATTACCAGAGGCCCTCTTGTCAGGCCCGTACCTGGCTCACACACTCCTGTAAGTTGGAAGCCACCTGGGACTGCTCCTCCAAAAGGATTTTGTGCAGGATGGCACAATGCTCACTGTCCTCATGCAGCAAGAGGCCCGGGTCCCTGTCTTCTCGGGAAGAGGCTGTGCCCTGGTCTTCCAAGGCTGAACTCTGCTCAGGAACACTGCAGATAAGCACATACAACAATCCCGTGCAAGTCCAGGAGCACAGTCTCCAGGAAGTGCACCACACTGGAAGGGGGAGGGTCCCAGAAGGTCATGCAGCAGTCCCCACTGTGGAAGGGAGGGAGGCTGAATAGATGCTGTGTCCCTCCCTCCCTCTCTCCCCCTTTGCTCCCACACAGCGTATGGATTGGGGGAAAGAAAAAAGGGATGGGGGAAGGTAGAGGGAAGAAATAGAAGGGAGATGTAAAAGCACAGGAAAGACAGTCAGTGAACAAAGTACCCCCTTTGTTCATCCCTGGAAATCCTGCTGTCCTGCAGAAAGGAAGCTAAAGTCCTTCCCAGCCTGCTGGTTGTGACCCAGCAGGTATTCTGTCACTGCGGAACACCAGCACCTCTCAAGACTACAGGAGAGGGACAAGGGACACAGGCAGTAAGTACCTGAGAAGGTGGCTGAGCTGGTGCTTGGGTGCGTGGGCATCCTCAGGGAATGTGTCTGGCTGGGCACCAGAGTCTTGGGAGATGGAGCCATGCTCACTGCTGTTTCTGCCCGAAGGCTCCCCCAAAAAGGGTAGGGCCAGGGCACTAGTGGCACACTGGGCACCCGCTGCAGAGGTACAACCAGGTAGGGATTGGAGCAGCTCAGAGGGAAAGAGGTGGGAAATGAGAATCTGGCAGCCCCTCAGACCCATATCCCCACCCAGGGGCTTGCTAAGCCTGTGCTGCTCTATCAGGGTGGTGCAAATAGCCCTTCCCCCAATCCTGATAAAATTGTAGGTCTGGAATGGGTCCTTGAGAAACACTGATCCAGGTAGTCCAGTGTCACACCTGTGGGGCAAGCTATAGAATCACTCTGCCATGGCTTCTGACTCCATCCGCACCAGGGAGAAGAGGACAGATCTATCTTCAGAGGCCACTCATATGTTAAGCCAATTAGAATTTATGGCCCCAGACAATTTATGACACCCAGAAGGTGTCACTGGGCTTTGGTGGCCTGCAGGATGGGCACCACAGGCAAACCTCCATAGCACCGTTTAATCAAGGTCAGGATTAGCACAGGATGATAGGCCAGGCTCTGAAAATGAGGCACCAGGCTCTGCACTTGGGGAAGACACAAAACCCCAGCCAAGGTACCTCTAGCCTCTCTCCTTTTCACTTTCCCAAAAGAATGACCTTCATCAGAGTCTCCAGAGAGGCTACCTATGCCTTTGTCAGGAGATGACAGGATATTTATTGGTTGCACTTTAATAACCACACCAGCATTGCCCCTGCTATTCTGGCACACAAATGGGCACATGGGGAGCTCTGTGCTCTGGAGAGAGGGCACTCTTCTAAGCAACAGAGAAGCCTGGGGCCCAAGCCCCCACCCCCAAACTGTCCAGGTAGGCCTTACCTGAAGGCCTGAAAGCAATTTGCTTCCTCTCGCCCTTGTTTGTCTGCCTTAAGAAGTCCTCTGTGAGTAGGCCAGCAGCCGTGACCCGTTTGCTAGGGTTAGGCTCAAAACAGGCTAAGATGAAGCCCATAGCTTTAAATGAAAGGGTTCGTGGAATATTGGGATGCATCTTTAACAGCCCTATCTGCATTGGAGAGAGAGGTAACATGTGTTAGTGAAGGCTTTGGTAACTGCCATGCCCATGCCTGTTGCAATCTTGTCCCTGGTCCCTCCCATCCAAATGGACTCTTTCTCATCCCTGGAGTCCCGGCTAGCCTCTCTGGACTCTGCTCTAAGTAAGAGATGATGATAGAAGTAATATTGTCAGGGTTTCAGAGGATAGGCCCTAAGGGATAGCTCCTCCTCTAGTCCTCTTGAAGTCTTGAGACCACCACACCATACAGGAACAGAGCCCAGGATGAGTGGCCATGTAGAAAGCCTTCCCACTGCAACCTCTACCATGGGAGAGAAGCCCTCCTAGATAACCATGCCCCAGCTTAGCCACCACATCGGTGCATTCATGTGAGTGAGCCCTCTTCAGCAGAAGAGCCAACAGGCAGCTTGCAGTGAGGAACAAGTGATTGTTTTAAGCCTCTGTGTGCAGGGCCAGTTTGTTACAAAACAAAAGGGAACCAAGAGGGACTTGGGGCATGGCTTGGGGTAGGAGAGGCTCAATCTGAGGATATACAAAGGTATCTGCTACCTGTTCCCAAAAAACACCCCATATACTTTTCAGTCCTTATGCATTCACAGCCAAACTCTCCAATCTCTAGCTCTGAGCCACACGGACCTGGGGCTGCTACCTCACAAACAAGTGTCTCATGTCTTGGCATCCATAGCCAATACACAGCCCCCTCCCCCATGGGGCACAGTGGGCCAAGGGAGGGGTGCTGTGCTTTCCTGTTAGGATTCTTGCTAGAATGATTGCTTCAGCTCCTATTTCTGGTCAGCTAATCACTGTCCTGCTGAAGGTTCTCTGTTCCTGTGAGCTATAATGGAGTGTTAGTTCCTAGATGTCACATCTCACCATGACATGGGAATGCTTCCATGACACATCTTGCAAAATGCTTTCCTGCATAATCATCCCTCAGGGGTGGTTCTTCAATCTTTTCAGGAGCTGTCATCTTAAAGTTCATGGCCTTCCCTGTGTTTTTTCCAAACCCACCCAACAATCCTGGGGTAGAAGCCATTCTGTCTTCCAGATCCACACTCCCTGCCAGCTCAGCAGTTTCAGAGCCTGGCTCAGCCTCCTTTTCCCTGCTGTGTGAGATCTGGGGGCTGCAGAGCCTTATGACCTCACCCTCCATGGGCCCTTCACCAGGTGGACATGTCCCATTCCCAAGATACTCAGGGAAAGGAACGATAGCTCAGGAGTTAGGGGTTTTGAGAACAATAAATGCTGGATGGAACCCAATCACCAAAATTTGAAATGCAGACATGTTACAGGTAGCATCCCTCACCTGAGTAGTGGGGACAGATGTCAGCAATGCCCACTTCCTCTAGGGTGTACAGAGACAAAAATTCAGGACAAGAACCTAAAGTGGAAAGGAATGGCTTTCCCTCTGGCCCTCAGAAAGAAAAGAGCAGAAGTGGACAGCACCCTAGGACCCTGCAAGTACATCACTTTTAAGGGTGTTTTGCTATAAATCAGAAGTACTCTGTAGTAGTGGGATAGGGCTGTTATAACAAACTACCACAGACTGGTATCTGAGTGGCTTAAACAAAAATATACTGTCTCTTAGTTCTAGAGGCTGGAAGTTCAAGGTCAGGCATTACCAGGGCCAGGTTTCCTTCTAAAACCTGTAATGAGTCCTTCCTTTGTCTCTTCTGTGCTTCTGGGGCTTCTAGGCCACCTCTGGTATTCCTTAGCTTGTAGATTCATCACCTCAGTCCCTTTCCTTCACGTGGCATTCTCCTTGTGGGTCTTCAGAGTTTTCTCTCTGTGGGAGTTTTCTATGCCCAAATATCCCCTCTTTTAATAAGGTCACCAGTCATGCTGCACTACAGCCCACTCTACTGGCCCCATTTTAACTTGATTATGGTATCTCTGAAAGGTTCTGTTTCCAAATAAGATCACATTCTGAGTTACTAGGGTTTAGGACTTCCATATACCATTTTGGTGACACAAACCCATAACAGTCCCCTTAGGGGAAGAACAATTCCTTTTGAATTCCTTTTGTTTTAGACACTGCTGAAAATTTTTTTTTGGTACTGGGGATCGAACTTAGGACCTTATGCTTGCGAGGCAGGCCTGGTGCCACTGAGCTAAATCCCCGGCCCTACTGCTCAGAAATTTCTTGAAATTTTTCTGAAGGATTCTAGGATCCCAGAAATAAATGGCACAGAGGACATCTTTCTTACTTTGTTCTTGGCAATGAAAACTAACTTCATATGCCACATAAAAAAGGCAATGGATTTTTTAAAAATTTGTACAGCTAATTAGCCAAAAACAGGAAGCAAGAAGAATATGAGAGTTGCTTATGCTCTGGATGAAATGAGAAAGTCACAGCCTTCAGTTGGGTTCCTGAATTTTACAGAGAGTTAACAGATCAGAAAGCAACCATAGTTCTCAGGTGGGCCCCATGTTTTTCTCAACATCAGCTGCTATTTGTACTGGTACCTCAGTTCACAAACTTCATTCATTCCACAATTCTGGAAAAGATAGCCATGTATATATTTCTGCAGGAAAGATGGCCATGATCATGTTGGTCACCCAACACAGAGTTAACAAACACAAAATTTTGCCAAATGCTTCTGTTTGCAAACCAAAGCATTTGTGAACCGAGGTACCACTGTATTTAATGGAAGCCATGGGTAACATCTTCAGTGGCTCCAACTGGGTCCATTGTGGATAGTTACTGATGTGCTAAAGTAAGGCTGTTGCAGTCTTCCAGCCCTTGTGTTCATGGTTCTGTTTGATTGTATGGTCAGACTTGTTGACCTGAAGCTCTGAGAACCTACTACAGGCTGAGTAGAACAGCCAAGGTACCCACCCAGAGTATAGAGCACTCAGAGCCCACTGAATGTGCTTTCCTCACATCCTGGGTTCTTAGTGCCCAAGGGGCCAGGCCAGAGAGCTCACCAAAGATGCAGCCCATAAGGGAGGTGGCCACATTTGACAGAAGAGCCAGGAAGAGGCCTCTGGAACCATGCACTACCAGGCTGTTTCAGTGCACCATGATTCATTATCCGTAAGCAATGGCCACTTGGCCTTTGGCAGCCTTTTGTAATAAATAAAAATGTTCCATGGAAGGTCAAGGGCTGGTAATGGATTCTTAGGGCTGGAGCCCCTTAAATGTTTTTACATATACTTGCAGTAAGAATAGGCAGACCTAATCTTGGGCACACAGGACTGTCCTGGCATCGGCTTCCTGTGGGGTTACCAGCAAGCATGCCTCTTTCTGAGACCCCAGTTGCCCAGCGGTAAAACCACCACCCACATCTGTCAGTTTGTATTATGTTAGCCTCAGCATGTGGACTGCCCTTCTATCTGCTCTTGGAGGGTTCTTTGAATGATAAAGAATACATCATCTGATACCTAAAATTCCACTTCTTCAAAATCCAGCCAGAAACCTGTCCTCCAAAGAACCAGACTTCACCATGGCCTTAGAGCCTTACTCTGGGTAAAGGCAAATGCAAATGAAAAATGTGAGGCATTATTATCCCTATTGAATACAAGGGAAGAGGATACCTCCTTTTGCTAGAGCATTAAGAAAAATTTGGGATTGTATGTAAATCTTTTTAGCAGCTAAACAAGCCTCTTGCCAAAAATATTCCCAAAGCCTTGGAGCTACTCTGAATTGTAATCATGGAGGAAGATAGTGCCTCTATCTCTGTTTCTATAGAGGAAAGGTGCTTAACTTCGGTGGTTTTTTTGCTCCAAAACTACTTCCTGCCTTAAAGATATGACAAGTCAGGGACCGGGGATTTAGCTCAGTGGTTCTGGCACCTGCCTTGCAAGCGCAAGATACTGAGTTTGATCCCCGGTACCAAAAAGAAAAAAAGATATGACAAGTTCATTTTTTCTTTTGCATAAAGCCAATAACCTAACAAATGGTCACCTCAAATACCAGGTGAATCTAAGATAAGATGTATGTGACAAATGGTGCTGTCCAGTCCTCTTTCATGAGGACTATTTATCTTGAGAATGTGATTTATAATGGGTTCTATCTGCTTGGCTATACAAAAGCGTGGGATTTTAGCTGGCACTTAGTGGTACATGCCTATCATCCCAGCTACTTGGGAGGCTGAGGCAGGAAGTTTACAAGTTCAAGGTCATCCTGGACAGCTTAGCAAGACTCTCACAAATTTAAAAAGTAGAAAGGGCTGGAGGTGTAGCTCCGTAGTAGAGCCATTTGCCTAGCATCCATGAGGTCCTGGGTTGAATCCCTAGTGCAAAAGAAAAAAGAAAAGGGAAAAAAAGTCTTCTTTCCATCTTTGCAACCTTAGTGAATTGTCTGATATACTTTCATTATGGTTTGACACTTATGCAATAATCAAACTATTTTCCTTCTTTCCTACCTTTGTGGATAGGTTTTCTGGATTGAGAAGAGATTTTGTTTTTAATTCCATCTGTTCAACACCTAAACTACCCAAATGACTAAGCATGACTTACTCCAAACATTGCTGCCTGAGGTTCACCAAGCTCACGAAATGGAGGCCTGCCGGTGGCCATCTCTATGATGGTGCAGCCCAGGGACCAGATATCAGCTGGGGCACCATACCCTCGAGGTCCTTGATCAATAATCTCAGGTGCCATGTACTGTAGAGTGCCTGTGTGGAAACAAATGAATAAAGATTGAGGGTACCATAGTGCTAAAAACCAAGTGACCATTAGTAAACAAATATGTGGCTTTAACTGCCTCATTAATGGTAGATAGAACCTCTTCCCAAGCATAAATAATGTGGTTGCACCATTTTGACCAGAGAGACATGCAACATGCCTTCTTTTAATACTAGTCACACTGAAGAGGATTACTCAGCCCTTCAAAGATAAATGGGCCTGATTCAATAAGTACTTTTTAGCACATATCAAATAAACAAAGTAGAATATGAGAAACAGCCAGATCACATGAAGCTGCCTAGTGGAGGAGACAGGCATAATGGTGGTAGTGGTGGCAGCACTGAAGATAAAATGTGATAGCTGCTATGAGAGAGGCATATGCGGAAGACTATAAGAATATGCATTTTAAAAGTAGCTCAATTCTGCCTGGTCTGAATCAGGAAAATCTATGGCTCTGTGGATTTTGGTTTCTGAGAAGCAAATGCCAAAACAAGATTGGACATACGAAAGAGTTACAGGGGAGAAGATCTATGAAGGATACAAAGGGGGTCAGGACCAGCAGGGACTGTGTCAGATTGTGATCCAGGTCTAACCCTTGGAAAAGGGGGGAGGGAGGAAGAATTGGGTAGGAAGTATTTTCAGATGGCACTGCTCTGAGAGAGCTTCATCCAGGCCATCAGCAAGTCCTTGGGCAAAATGTGCCCACTGGAAGAGTTCCACATTGGTTCTAGGACCCTTGCCAGCCTCAGTCATTAGTGGGAAGCAACCTAGGTAAAGTGTGACCTTGCCGTGAATGTGAATGTGATTACAAGGGGGAGCATCTGCACTGACAGTGAAGTAGGTTCCTACTGGAAAGGTCAAAGAGGTGGACCAAGGGTTAGAAGGATGTCTAGGTAAAAAAGCTTGAGCAAAGCACACAGGTGTGATGTACTGAGTTCAGGGAGCAACAAGTGATGTTTGACCCAGGGCAGGATATAGGAAGAATTAAAGTGGAAAGGACACATCCCAGATGGTGAGGTGTGTGTTCTGAAGACTCTGGCTTTGGACTGTCTTCTGAGGGTCATGAGCCACCAGAGGTTGCCACAGGGGAGATGGTGATCAGATATGGTAGCAGGCAAGCAAAGGGATTATTGATGGGAAAGACACAGGGCAGGAGCAAAATCTTTAGTTTTGCTTGAAACTAAGCATGAGGAATGGGGAAATTTGGATGTGACATCAGCAGATTCTGTGGTCTGGCTAAGAGGTTTAGAATAAGACAGCAAACCAGAAATAACCTTAGTTAAGGTGTGAATAGAAACCTGGTGTCCAGAGAAATGAAAAGGCCTCTCTCTAGATCACACAACATCAGGTTTCCTGAGTTTTAATCAATGAAAACAAAGGACTCATCAGTATAAAAAAATTGGAGATGGGCCGGGGATTTAGTTCAGTGGTTCCGCCACCTGCCTCGCAAGTGCAAGGACCTGAGTTTGATCCCCGGTACCAAAAAATAAAATAAAAAATAAAAAAATTTGGAGAAGATATCAGCAATCCTCTTGAAGAACCAACGTCTTACTAGCACTTTTCCTTCCTATGAACATTTTAAAGGCACTAGGAGAGCTGTGACCAAGAGAATATTCCACAATGATGGAAATGTTCTATTCTGTGCAGTCTAATGTGGCCATTAGCCACATGTGTGTATTGGGCTGCTGAAATGTGACTAGTGAGACAGAAATGAATTTTAAATTAATTTTATTCAATTTCAAGTTAAATATAAATCAGGCTGTATTAATGAGCCCAACAGATCAGTGGGTCACAGACAATGCCTTTGGTCTCCGGAGCTGAAAAGCTGGTGGGGAAGTGTTCAGTTAATTGCAGAGTTGGGCAAGATGGAGGTACATCACGCTTGAGAGGAAACTCCAGAGCCCTGAAAGGGAACTTTTGGTAATACAGTATCTCCTACAGGCTGTTGTTCTGTGAATAACAGAAAGAGATGTGTTGGCAGGGAATGTATCTTCTAATGAATTCATAATTCATTAATTATGGAAAGATTTGACAATTATTTATTAAACTCTCAGCTCTGCTCTGAGATGCTGGGTCTGGGATTCTAGAAACCCCATTTTGTTTTTGCCTATAGCTCCCTCTGAGGCTCTGCAACTAGGCAGCAGTAGAGAGATCCTGGAAAGCTGGAGGGGGGACCCAGAGTCCAGACCATATAACATTGCTTCCACTATTCCATTCATTATATGTGAGTCACTAAGTCCTGTCCATATATAACAAGTGGTGGTTAAGCAAGGGTGAAATATCAGGAGGTGGGGCTCACTGGCGACAACCCTGAAAGCTGACCCCCACATCTGACTTCTGGTTGGCATTTGATGGCTTACAAAGTGTTTCCATGTAGTATTGTCCATCATCTGTCTCTCATAGCTCTGTAAGGCTGGGCAGAAGAGACCTGTGATAGTTAATTATGCTATCAACTTGAATAAGAAATGCCCAGCTGATTGGTTTAACACAGTTCTGAGTGTGTCTAGATGATGGAATTAATGAAGAGGGAAGACCAACCCTGGGTGTGGATGGCATCAACCAATAGGCTTGTAGCCTGGATGGGATAAAAAGGGAAAGAAGAAGGAAGTCTAGCTTGTACTTCTTCAAAGGAACTCCAGTCTTTGCCATCAAATTTGGATATCTGTCTCCAGGCTTCCACCAGACTCCTCAGCCTTCCAGCACATACCCTTCGGCCTCTCGATATAGCCTTGCACAGGACTCTGCAGTGAGCTCCAGACCTTTGACTTTTGACTGAATCCTCTGGCTCTCTAACAGAGTCCTTTTGCATTCTACTATACCTGACTCAAGAGGCAGCTACTGTAAGACTGACTACCTTATACTGTATCTATATATAAAATTTATATATATAAAATTTTTATATATAATCTGTCCCTCTAGTGGACCCTGATACAAGACCCTATCCACTGTTAATCCCATTTTACACATGAAGACAAAACTGAGGTCCAGAGAGGGGTACTGCTGAAGCACACCTTCTTAAATAAGAGCAGCTAATGCAAGGGTTTCCAAAGCCATATTGTAGCTTTTTTCCCCCATGTAACTGGAAGGTACAGAGCAATGGTGGAGACCTGAGTGCTCCATTTGATTCACTACTGTATTCACAGAGTAACCATCCAACAGAGAGAGACACATGGAACAACATAAGTACTTTGAATAATTGAGGGAACATCCTCAGGCAGTATGCATGTTGGGGGTGCATATCAAGCTATGCCAAAGGCTAGATTCTGGGGAGCAAAGCAAGCAAAGATGGCACTGCGGGGCATCTGAATCCTGCACAAATCCTGAGCAATTGGCTTGTCTTACATCTGGCTCTCTTAGGGGCCTTATCTCTCTAACTATACTTGCTCCAAGGGGTGCCCCATCCCCCCTGGTCCTTGGCTTAGCAGCCATGGTTTTCAGGCACCTACACTAGGGCACTGGTAGAATTTAGAACAAAGTGTCCAGACCCAACCCCCTTGGGACATAAAATCTATTGGTAGCTCCTTGACCATTGTCCAAGCAGGATTTCCGAATTACCAACAAAGAAAACATATGGAATAAAGTGAAATTTTTTGACTGAGATTCAAAGATACAGTCCAGATCTCAAGGCAAGAGGTACAATGGGGACCACCAGATATCCCTTTTCTAAAGGAGTCTCAGACCCCTGGGTTTAAAAGGCTTGAGTCCTCATCCAGGGGCCTCACATCTAGATCAAGGAATTCAAAGGGTTGAAAGAGGACAGATTGGGGGGGGTATTTAAATCAGCCTCTTTCAAGAGCTATGCTGGGTAGTCTACCCTCTGTCCAGTTAAGACTTGGAGCAGGGCTGTCCCCAGAAGGACATGAGTCCGTGGTGGTTCAAGCTGATCAATGTTGACTCAGGATAGTGGTACTTGACAGGCCATACACGTTAACATCTGCTATAGGCCCCCAGACATATTATTAGAGCCCAAACTTTAATGTTAATGAACAGAAAAGAGAAGTGACGTGCAGCCTCCCATGGGAGTGGGAGTTACCCTAATGGCCATACTGAAAAGATGGGACTAGTCAGGGGGCAACACTTCTTCCCAACCCAAACCTTTCAAACTACTCAGACCTTGATATGTACATATCCCCTGTAGGTAAATTACAGAGAGAACTGGATCCTCAGAGAGCAAAAGTCAGAGCAGCAGACAAGGGACTGTTAGGTCTGGGGATAATGCCATTACCCTCTTGATAGTGAGTTGAAGGTACACAAAGCCCAGGAATCAGAGGTGAGACCTGTATTAAACATATTGGTTTGGGTTTTTTTTAGAGGAACCCTGCTCAAAGGCAGTCTCTTCCAAAGCCTGAATCCCTCCATAGAAAGAGAAATGGGTAGAACATGAAAGGTAAGTGGCAACTGAAGGCAGGGTGGGTAATCAGTCAAAGGACAGGCCCCTGCTCATGACACAGTGGTCACATTCAGAGTGATTGAGCAAGATAAATTAACAGAAAACATCAGCCAGGCCAGATCACAAAAAGGTAGCTTACAAAAGGGCTAATCATGTGACTTGCCAGGCCCCTTTTCCCTGCCTTTCTGCAGTTGGTGAGTAGGGAAAGAGGTGAGGGAGAAGCTGGCACCTGGATACCTGAGTAGAGGTCACTGCAAATGCAGGGAGAGGGAAAAGGAGTTGGCCCTGTGAATGAAGACGAGAATATTGATCAGTATATAGCTCACACTCTTTTCATTATCAATTTCACCCTGTTTGCGCCTTCAAGTGCCATTTCAACTCTCTTTGTCATCTAAGAGTGGCTAAAAAAAAATCATGAGAAAGGCTCACTGCTCTAGGCAGGATGTAAAGAAACAGTGGGAGACAAAAATATGATGACACCCTTTCATTCCTACAGGTTCAATGTTAGTTACACATGGAAAATCAATTCTCTCAAAGGCTCATTACAGCTTTAATAGCCTGTAACATCTAAGTGCAAATTAATATGTATTTTATTTAATTAATAAATACTTATACTTCAGTTTCACTTGCTGTGAGCCAGGTACCAGTCAAAGCACTTTATCAATACTAATCCATTTAATCCTTAAAAACCCTATAAGGTAGATCCTGTGAGAATTTCCATTTTACTTATGAGGAACAAGGGTAATATGTCTAAGGTCACACAGCTAGAAAGTGGTTGAGCCAGGATTTGAACCTGCTCATCCTTGAACCAAGGATGTTTTTAGCCATAATACGTCCACACAAAAGCTGGTCTGTGCATGACCACAGTAGCATTATTCACAACATACAAAATGTGGAAACCACCCAAATAATCACTAACTGGCAAATGTAGTCTATCCACACCATGGAATAGTATTCAGCCAAAGAAGAAGAAAGGCCCAATACATGCCATAGCATGGATGAGCCTTGAAAACATTTCACTGTGAGAAAGCAGCTGGATGCAAAAACCACATGTTGCATTATTTCATGTGTATGAAACATCCAGAACATGCAAATCTACACACACAGAAAATAGATTGTTGCCTTGGGCTGGTATTGGAACTGGAATTGACTGCAAAGGGGCCTAATGGGGGAGGGGGCAACAGTTTTTTCCAACCCACAGTCTTTTGGGGCATCTTTTTGGGGTGATAGAAATATTCAAAAACTGGATTGTGGCAATAGTTGCATGATGCAATAAATTTACCAGAAATCATTGAATTGTGCATTTAAAAAGGGTCCTTTCAAAAACAAGGGTGCTTTCATGATATGTAAGTTATACCTCAATAAAGCTGTTAAAACCACTACAAGAACAAGAGGGCTAGGGAAGTAGCTCAGTGGTAGAACACTTGCCTAGTATGTGTGAGGCCCTGGATTCAATCTCCCACACTGGAAAGAAAAAAAAAAGCTGTTCTAGAAAAGCCCTAGGAACATAGGATGGAAGAGATCCAGGCCAAGAAGTTGCCCAAAGCCTTGGCAGGACAGACAGCCTCAAAGCATTTACAGGGAAAAGCTACACCATATCCACCCAACCCAGAGTTCTGCACCAACCATCTGAGATTTCTTTATAGAACTGCTCTGTTTTGCAAAGAGTAATTAGATGCAAGGGAATTTCCTAACCCAAGCAAGACCCCTTCTTTATTATTCCCCAAATACCACTGTATATTTTGCAATGCAAAATTCATGCCTCCTCAAGCCAATTACTTGGGAAATGTGATATACAATAATGAATTATGAATGTGTTTTTGTTGTGATTTTTTTTCCTTGGGGATACTAATTATAAGATAAGTTGTTGGGGGATTTTATGTTTTTTTGAAATAACACCTTGTCATATCAGAACCCCTCTTGCTGCATATTGCTAAGTTAATTGGTGGCTTCCAAAGAGGAAGAGGGTATAAATTGTCTTTAATTATGGTAGTAAAATGCTAAGAGAGGGGAAAATGCCCAGGACTATATACATATATATTCATATGTAAATATGATGTATGCATATGTATATTTACACCAGAAATAATAAATGAAAATTAAACATGCTCTTTCTGTGAGAAATTCTGATAGTGCCCTGGTATGGTATTTTCCTATTCTGAGATGCACATACATCCCCTTGTGTCACAACTAAAAAGTCACTTTTGATGTATTAAAATTCCCTTTTGATGGAAGTACAGCTCCACTGTGGGTATCCAGCAGCTGACACACAACTATCTTGTTGAAGAAAAGCCCTTCAAAGCTGAGACATTATTCAATAAAAATAAGGTCCAAGCTGTCCATTACATAGCTTTGGCTACTACAGGGATAGAGATCAGTCATCTGCCTTTTATATTTTATTTCAGAGCTGTAAGATTATGAGGGCTGTTTTATAATTGTATCAAGCAAGTATCTTTATGTTACTCCTCAGGGAATCATAAACTTTTACTTATTAAAAATCAGTACTTCTTTCCAAGGATCAAAGTTTGGCTATCCTTGCTTTTAAGCAGGAATTTCAAAAGCCAGAGGTAGCTTCTGAGTGGTATTTTACCTATTGGTCAGGTAAATGTACAATTGGTTGGTAATTTTATGTCATCTTTTGAGTCTACTCTCTTTCAACATTTAAACTGTTCCATCACTGACACATGGAAAAGAAAATGCAATTCCTCAAATCCACTTAAAATGCCATATTCCTCCAGAGAAATTAGCCTCCCTGGGAAACATAATCATATCAAAACATGAGGTGTCAGAATTCACTAAGGTAACAGGCTATTTTTATGAGAGACCCCAATAAAAATGTCCTAATCATAGTCTGAGGGATACTGTTATTCAGAATTATTTACGAGTTTGGGTAGTGTACTACCAACTTTAAAGACTATGTCATTTTGCTGACTAGATGAGAACCCCTCAGGAAAGTTCAGCAGAGCCCTATACCTATCCAACTTCTGAGAGGCAAAGAAGAATGTGTAGAGCAATCTTCCTGTCACAAGTAGCAAGCTAAGTGTATCACTTTGATAGTATGTACTAAAACAATTTGAGGTCAGGAAAATACATTATCCATATGAAGTATCAACTGTCAATTTGTGCTGGGAAGGTGCCCAGTAAGTAACTCACATGACCACAGCTTTTGTTGATAGTTTAACTCCAAGATGGCTGCCGTGCTAAGCTCTGAAAAGGCTTACCTGTAAAGGTCTCTGTGCATGGGTTCACTCCTGCGAGATGTTTGGAGGTTCCAAAATCGGAGATTTTTACCACTCCACTGTAGGTGTTTACCAGAACATTATCACCCTTTAGAAAAAGAACAGCATTGAGTGCTTAAAGACAGATTTAAACAAATGGACATGACACAGTTTGGGACCATCAGAAAGTGTCAGGAAGACACTCTATTTTGCAGGAATACTATATTTTGCACTTGGAGTGCAGTCCTGCCACATCAGCCCCCTCTATAACCAAGTCTCTCAGCATACATTACACAGATAGCTTTTATGACCAAATGGGAGCTAAACGCCATGGGTCTAGACAAGCCAGAACCTTTATGTCTCTGTGCACTATCTGGTTTTCATGGAGATACTTCAGGCCTTCAAGGATCTGCTTAGTGTAAAACTTGATAGTAGGCTCCTTCATTGGCCCCCATTTGGATTGCAAGAGAGCAGAAAGACTTCCTAGAAACATGAACACAGCAAAACACAAATCAAGTTCACAAAAACTGAACTGTAAGAGCTCAGGGAAATCAAATGGGAGTAGTGTTTAAGCTGACATAAGCACTTATACCAACATCATCATCATATCTGGCTCAATGTAATACAATTCCTCCCTCTCTACAGACCCAGCCAAGAACAGACTGGAAGTGAGTCAGCATCACATTAAAGGCAGAGGATAAAGAAGACCCCCTTGTGATCCCTGAAATTCAGTGGGGTCAACTTTGGGTTTAGCTCTGTTTAGCTCCACAAAATCAGGAGAAATGCTGCTCTCTGAACTCAGAGGTATGACCTGATATCATACATTACTTGGGTCACATGACACTTGCTATATAACCAACTTGGCCATTCTACTTAGAGCAAAGCCATATTTCATATCTCATCCTATAATCAGAGGTGAATAAGTCTAGAGTGAGGGGCCCTTGGGAGTGATAGAGACTATAATTATCTGTCCTCATTGTAAGAAAGCCCCAACGGCAAGCTACAGGGTGGGACCATCTTAATTAGCAAGCCCTTCCCCCATTACTTCATTAAACACTGAGCTTTTGGGCCAAAAGAAAACCTCCCTCTGGATGTTCTGACCACCTGTCCCAGAGGTGGTGTGAAAGCAGGTGAGCCTTCCTGATGGCAAGAATGGGCCCTCTGGGCATCAGCTGCTCTGAGCCGCACCACTCTACAGTGCTCTGGGACCTTGCCATACTTCAGTTTCCCCATCTGTGAGAGGGCATGGACACATCCATCTCTAATCTTACTGTCACCCTTCAGCCTAACACCTGGAACAGTGGCAAATGTGAACAGCAATAGACACATTTTTGGCTACACTATGAGCTACCTAAGGAAAGAGAGACTATTTGTCCTTAATGTAACCTTCAAAACCTAGCCCACTGCCTAGCTCTTAATATATAAAGTTATACTCTTAAAATATTAGTCTCTTAATAATTGTTGGTTGAATGAATACAGAGTTCTAACTGGAGGTTTTACATCTGTATTCAAATAATTATAATTATTATTTAATGAAAACATTTTATGAATTTTATTATTATTTAATGAGCAGCTATTTCTTGGGCTTTTGCTTGCTTCCAGGCACTGTTTGAAAAACTGTATATGCATTATCTTATTTAACTCACACAATGACCCATTGAAATAGGATTATTCCAATAATTATCACCCCAATTATTATAGCAACTATTATTACTCCAATTTTACAATTTATTTATTCCAACAGAAAACTGAGGGCACAGAGAAAATAAGTTTCCTGAGGTCACACAGCTTATTCATGGCTAGACTGATTAAAACTAGACAGCTCCACATCCAAGAAAGTATTTCTTATCTCCTATATTCTATTGCCTACATTTAGGGATTTTGTAGGGAAAGCCCTGGTGTTTGATTTCATTCTCAGCATGTTATTTTGTAATGTCATTTTGACAATTTGTGTCCCCTGTTCTCCAAATCACCTTTAAATTTTTAGACTCTGAATAGACAGAAGACTCTTTCTCTCTTTGTCCCCAGTGCAGCACTCAGTAGATACTCAATGAATATTCGTAGGTTGAATAAACAAAGTAGAAGGAGACTGTTTAAGTGACATTTCAAAAGTTTATGTAGAATTCTTCTGAGAAACCAATCTTTTCCAACCTTTAAAAGATCTGTCACTTTTAAATGGCAGAACAATTAGTGATGCCCATCTTGTATTTTCATTAGTGATTTTCAAAATATGACACCAGAAAACAATGACCACTCACCTCCAGGCACCTGCTCCATAAAGATCTTAATGTAACCACCCTCAGACACAGAGCCCAGGTACTGGATGATATTGGGGTGTTTGAGGTATTTGTGCAGGGCTATCTCCTCATGCAGAGGTTGAGAGCAACTATTATGAAAAAACAAAGCCAGTGTCACCTACCAAATCCCAAGGGCTCTAGACCCCATAGCACCTCACCAATATCTTCCCTACTGCTAGCCATCACTTCTTTCTGGAAACTCACTCTCCCTTGCCTTCCGTGAGACTACTCAGCTTCCCTTTTGTAAAACAGGGAATACAGGCTGAGCATCCCTAATCCAAAAGCCCAAAATCTGAAATGCCCCAAATCCCAAATTTAGCCAAGTATGGTGGCACATGCCTGTAATTCCAGCTACTTGGGAGGCCGAGGTAGGAAAATTACAAGTTCAAGCCAACCTGGGCAACTTGGTGAGACCCAGTCTCAAAAAATTAAAAAAGGGCTAACTCAGTGTAAAGGCTGAGTTCAATCCCCAGAACTGCTAAATACATACATACATACATACATACATACTCCAAAAAATTTTTTTTCCTGGTATTGAGGATTGAACTGAAGGTATGGCACATGCTAGGCAAGTGCTCTACTATGGAGTTGTGACTCAAGCCTTTTACTTTTTTTTTTTGAGAGAGACAGTCTCACTAAGTTGCCCAAGCTGTCTTCAAACTTGTGATCCTCCTACCCAGCCTCCCAAGTAGCTGGGATTACAGGCATGTGCCACCATACCCAATTCAAAATCTGAAACTTTTAGAGTGCCAACATAACTGCACAAGTAGGAAATTACATATCTGACCTCATGTGATGTGTCCCAGTCAAAACACAGATGCACTATTATACAAAATTACCTTCAGACTACGTCTCTAAGGTGTCTACAAAAAAATGAATTTTGTGTTTAGATTTGAATCCCATTTCCAATAAGCCTCATTATATATATGCAAATGTTTCAAACGCTGTAAAAAATCTCAAATCTGAAACACATTTGGTCTCAAGCATTTTGGATAAGGAATATTCAAGCTGTAAAAATACTAGCCACATGGGCCGGGGATTTAGCTCAGTGGTTTCACCACCTGCTGCGCAAGTGCAAGGACCCCAGTTCGATCCCCAATACCAAAAAAAAAAAAAAGAAAAAAAACTAGCCACATAGGGCTTCTGGGGGCCAAAGTGCATCAAGGTGCTCTGGCACCCAGTGGAGGGCCTGGTTTTTGGTAACTACTCAACTGCTATTCTTACTATCACTACTGGTAGAGCCTGAACTCTCCAACCATTGTTTACCTCTCAACAATCCAGCTCCTCTGCTTCCCATACAGGGTAGTGTTCTAGAAGATTCCATCCTCAGCTGCCTTCCAGTCTTTATAGATTCACCATAGACCACTATAGCAGCTACCTAATGTGACATCTAACCTGTCTCTGGACTTTTTAGTTCATCACTCTTCACCCCTGGGATTATCTCTTCTTGAAACACACACATCATATAACATTTCCCTCCATAAATTCCACATAAAGACCATATTGTTTCATGTGGCACACAAAGACCTTCAAAATCAGGCCAGAGGATGCTTTATTTTTTGCCTCAAGGGCCCTCCATTGCTCCACAGCCTACATCCAGGACTTTATCCAAAAATTTGCTCTCTGAACATGCTTTGTGTTTTAACAGTTTTACTCTCCCCTATAGTAGGCCTCCCTTCCCTTTCTGCCAAGCAAACTCCTGCTCATCCCTCAAAGACCAGCTCAAAAATGATTTGTTTTTTCAAACTTGTCCCAACCCACACAGGAAAATTCAGCCCACCTCTGTGTTCTAAAAACGCTGTGTACCCTTCTATTATGGCACTTGTCACTGACTCACAGGCATCTGTATTGCTCACCAAACTGGTAATACCCTGGGATCAGGACAATATCCTAATAACTTTTTAGCCCTCACAGCCAGCTCAGAACCTGGCATAGAAAAGGTGCTCAATCATTATAAGTTTAGGCAGTAAATGTAACGCAGAGAGTTGTAGAGAGTCTCCAAGGCCCCTTTCTGGCTCTAAAATTCCAGGAACTGCTATGGGCAATGAGGAGCTGCAACCACCAGTGCTACCAAATGAAGGAGATGGCACATGCTAGAACTTTCCCCAAATCGATACAACTGTAGCACCTTGTATATTATGAGAATGAGAGACAGAATACCAGATCCTGTTTTTGTTTCTACACATCCTTGGAGGAGTCATTTAGTCTTCTGCAGCCTTGGTTTTCATACTGGTAAAATGAAGAAACTGCACTATTTCATTTCAGATCTTGTCTTATAATTCACATAATCACAACATGCTCTCTCACTGAAAATCAACAATTGAATGACTTAACAAAGAATCTTAGTACAAATCACTGTGATGTGCAAACCACCACTAATCAATCAGTGATCACCTTAACAGAGGAATGTAGGACCATAGCCATGGGTGAAGTTGGACTACAGAGTATTTTTTAAAACTCTGTTTTGGAAAATCGAATGTTTTATACTGCATTTAATTATTTTCTGTAATGATATAGCCAAACAAATCAAAATCATTTTCAATTGTTACAATGGGAATTTAAAAATATGCAGTACAGAGTGGGGATATAGCTCAGTGGTAGTAGAGCCTCGCATGCTCAGGGCCCTGGGACTGATCCCAGTATCAAAAACAAAACAAAAAACAAAAAGGGAAAAAGTATTCAGTCACATTTAAAAATATTTGGAAACAACTACATAGAATGTAAAACTCTAGAAATAGCTGAAGGGTGAAAATACAGTTTTCTTTTAAAATACAACCTCTGCCATCCAAAACCTCCAAATGAAATTGTTCCATTTTCTTCATCTAATTCTAACACCCAGAGAGCAAAAGCAGGTCACCCTTATTAACATGAGAATTACAAGTTTTGTGACAACCTAATGCTTTCATTCTTAAATCCTCTGCACCATCAGTAGTGGGCCCGGGATTTGGGGTGCTGGATGTTAAGTGCAGAATGTAGAAGGCCCCAACTCGCCTGCAGTCTCTCTCTGGAATTTCTTTGATTGCTATTTGCACTTGATTCCTCAGATCTTGGCCAGAGTACACAATTCCATAGGTGCCTTTTCCCAAGATAATTCTCTCCCCATTCGCATCACGGTCATACTCATACTAAAGCAGGAAAAACAATGAGACAAAAAAAAAAGTTCATATGACTTAGAGTGAGGAAATCCTCCAAAGGTCCAAAAGTTGTCTAGCAATTTTTAGAAAATTGATAACCATTGAGTACTGAGCAAGTCACGGTTCTTAGGTTATATACTTTTCGCTCAATAATCACTCTCAGTGGTTCATGTATTTATAACATTACCTTATAAAATGGAATCCAACAGAATTAAAAATATGGCTCATATATAACTTACCTGGCTCACCTTTTAGAGATTTCTTGCCATTTTAATGCTGTAAGTTAAAAACTCTTCTAAGCATGTTCAATACTCCAAATAGTATCCCTATCAACTTTTCAGGAAACAAACCTCTTTAATATCCCAGGAAAGAACATCAATAAAGTAGTCTTAATTCAGAGTATATATGCTGGGTTTCCCTTCCTCTTTCAGTAACATAGATCTAGCACATACTACAGAAATTCAATTTACAATTAGTATGGCTATATTTTTCCCTCAGTCTTATCATCAAAAGCTGTCACACACAGCTGCATGTGAGTTGATTCTTCTCAATGATTAATAAAAGTGACCACAGGCTAAACAACACTTATTTAAAGCAGAGAGGAAGCGATACATATTTCTATTGTTTTGCATGTTTCACTGTGTCTACTTACTGAAAAGCAGTTTTTGTTTTGAGACAGGGTCTTGCTATGCAGTTCAGGCTCGCCTCGATCTCACTATGTAGCCCAGGCTGGCCTCCAACTTGTGGCAATCCTCCTACCTCAGCCTACTGAGTGCTGGGATGACAGGTATGCGCCACCATGCCCAGCTTAACTGCAGTTTATAGACAGAACAGTTCTTACTTCTAGGGATGCTCATGACAATTAAGACAACTAAAGGGTCTCCACCATTGTCAGATTTAACTAGAAATTGGCACGTTCCCAAAACATTTTTATCTCACACCTTTCTCTGCCCCTCCCCAACATATGTTGTCTTTAAGGTCCATCACTCAGTTCATTTTGAGTCTACACTAATAATTCTAGTACTTGACTCAATCATTAACATGAAGTCCCTTGATAATTTCTAAAAGAAACTTCAAGGAATTCATTTCACTCTAACTTGGAAGTATAAAATCTCATTAAATTGTAATCACTGGGAGAAACTGACTAATGGCGAATCAGTAATTGTACAAGACTTAAACATATGTAAAGGGGTATAATACCGGTGTACTACAACTTTCCTGTCCAAAGGAGCTTATGATAATTCTACTTTCTTAAAAAGTATTAAAAAACTCTTATATTTAATATACTATATCACAAAGATATAACTAAAGTCATTTCAAATGAAAAAGACTGCTTCTAGCTGGCTATTTCTTTTGTAGTCTCAAAAATACTATTAATTAGCTTAATAAAAACTTTTTCATAGACTGTACATGAAAGAAAATTTGAGTCTAGTCCATGGCCAGATTTTTCTTAAACATTCTGACTAAAGGGATTCCAAGCAATGAGCTTTCCCTATAGCAATATATTAACCTCTGACAGCCATGGATGGTGATAGCTGGCTAGTTCAGAAAATAGTATTTTTAAATATGCTCAATAAAAATTTTTTACATGAAAATTGTGATATTTACTTTAAGCATCAAAGATAGAATAGGAACTTTTTCCAAATTCTAGGCCTTCTGTGACTTACTTCTAATATGTCTCCATCAGTCTCTCTGTCCAGCTCCACTGTAGGGCCCACTGCATTGGTTAGCATCTCTTTGACAAAATAGCAAAACCTAGAACAGTAAATGTCACAGAGACGTTGCCCATTAGGATCACTCTGGTTCTTTACCTTTAACTTGGCCTTAGTACATTAAACCACTGATGTCAAACCTTTTAGAGCTTTCAATGATACAAACAGCCCTCTGCAACCTGTGTGCCATAGGCTGGCCACCACTGCATTAAACTGTATTGAAACATAAGCCAATCTTTTACAAGCTATGGAACAATCAATTCACTCCTTGATTTGACATGGTTCTTTAGTGTTTATCTAATCTAGACCCAAAACCCACATGGTATTTGAATCTTCTCTATACAGTATCTCCACCAACTATGCACAATGATAATGCTGAACACCTCCAGCAACAGAGAACCTGTTACTTCCCAAAGGCAGTTCATTCCTTGAAAAACTCAATGAAAAATGTTTCCCTTTTATTGACCTGAAAACTTCTTTTATGTGGGTTCTATTTACAGAATGCTTAGAGTCAACCCCTTTTGTGTTTATATACTATGTTTTCTTCACTCATCAACTGATAGACACTTAGGTTGTTTCCAAGTCTTGGTTATTGTGAATAGTGCTGCAATAAACATGGGAGTGCACATGTCTCAGACAGACAGATTCTAGTTGAGAGCAGAAAAGTGGTAACAAAGGCTGGGGAGAGTAGTAGAAACAAAGGGATGGGGAAAGCTGATCAATGAGGACTAAGTTATAGTTAGAAGTGGGAAAGAAGTCCTGGTGTTCCATTGCAGAATAGGGTGACTACAGATAAGAGTAATGTACCATATATATTTTTTGAAAAGCTAGAAGAGAGGATCTTAAATGTTTTTACCATAGAGAAATGATAATTGAGGAGATAAGACATATTTAGTCTGATTTTCTCATTATACAATGCATATATGCATCAAACATCACAGGGCACTCCATAAATTTATTTATTTATGTATCAGTTAAAATTAAATAAAAATAAATTTTAGAAGAATTAATTCTTTTTCTATATTAACAGCACCCATTAGCAATGTACATACTTTTTCATGTCCCTCTAAGTCTTTCCTTTTTGTTTCTTCACTGTTTCCCTCAGGACTTGAGTCACTCCACTAACAGGTCATTCTTCAAATGTGTCCCTATGTTATTCTTCAGGTCTGTCCCTGATACTAGCATTCTAGGAGTGGTCTAATCAGCGCTAAGAACAGCAGGACCATCCCCTCTTAAGTTGCAGACAGTTATCAGAAAGTATATAGTCTTGTATAAAGGGAGGGAATGCATAAGATTGCTACATTATTCCATTGACACAGATTAAGCCTAATACTAACCATTATCCATAAATCTTTTCTTACATATACTGTTGCGCTACATGGACTTTTGCACTTGTTTACTTGCATATAAGTAATTGTGACCTAGCAAAACTTTTTCTTCAGTATTTTCTCTCAAGATGGCAGGGAAGAACATTCAAAATAATTTCCACAAAACATTAAAATAGTCTTTTTCCTAACTTTTCCCATTTTTTCTCCCAGTATTTGAACACTGGAAAACTCAATTAGGAGACATGATATACAATCTTCAGAATAGCTAAAATTTAAAAGATAATATTAATTGATGTTTAAGTATATGGAGCAACTAGAACTCTCAAACATTGCTGGTAGGGGTGTAAATTCATGAGAGTACTTTGGAAAACTGATAATATTGGTCAAAGCTAAATATAAGCCTGACTTATATAACCCAGTAATCCACTCCCAGATGTATACTCAACAGAAATCAATATTGCATATATGTTTACCAAAAGGCATCTGAAAAAATTGTCACATGCTTACATAATGAAAAAACCAAAATATTAAAAGGATGGACACACACATATCATGGCTGAAACACATAGCTACTATTTTAAGGAAAAGAAGGGAGAAGGAAAAGAGTAAAAATTATTTGAAGGTGAAAACCAAGCAAAACCAATCGTGGTAACAGGAATCAAAATAGTTATCGCTGGAGTGAGTTTAATGACTATAAAAGGGCACAAGGCATCTTCTAGGGATGATGATCTTGGAGATAAGTACCTGGGTGCAGGTATACATAAAGTTTTATCTGATCGTATCCCTAAGTGCATTTTATGCAATTTACTTGTATGTATATTACACCACAATTAAAAATTAAATCAGCAAAGCCAAGCACAGTGGCACACACCTGTAATCCCAGCACTCTGGGAGGCTGAGGCAGGAGGACTGATAGTCAAGCCCAGCCTGGGCAATTTGGGAAGATCCTGTCTCAGTCTAAAAAAGGGCTGGGGATGTAACTAAGCGGAAAAAGCCAGTCACAAAAGATAACATGTTTTATGACTCCTTGTATACAAATTGTCTAACAGGCATATTCAAAGAGGTAAAAAGAGAATGGTGGTTGCATAGAGCTTGGATTATAGGGGTGAGCTTGGGGGAAATGGGGAGTAACTGCTAATGGATACTGGTTTTCTTTGAAGAAGTAATGAAAATATTCTAAAATTAGAAAATTTTGCTGAAAATTCTGTAAATATACTGAAAAATTGAGTTGTGTTCTTTAAATGGTTGTGAGGTATGCGGATATCTCAAAGCTGTAAAAATAATTTTCTGTAAGTTAAAATTTTTAGAAAGCTAGTAAAGCAAATACTTTTCACAACAAAGGTCCTTCCAAAATGATTCACCATAGATTGCAATTACCTGAATCAGCCATAACTCACCTGCTACACTGGTTTTCTGTTGAAAAGCAGATTTGAAAGTCATCAGAATTATTATAGATATAAAGAAAACAACACCGTCCATCAAACTTGGAGAGGCTATAAATTTCAAAACATAAGATATTTATACATAAGATATGATACCAACTTTAAATTTTGGAGAAAATGTAGTAATAGATTTTCTTTCATTTTACACATTCCTGATTCATTAATCTTTTTACAAACACTCCCAAAATTTGGCCTTTAGTTCTCTATGAAATTTTAATACCAGGGACATTTATTTTGCTTATATTTGAGTTGGTATTTATCAACTGACTTTAATGAATATCAAGAACTTCCTCTATATTCACTGCTAAGCTAAACATAGGAGCAACAGAAAAGGGTATGAATATAGTCTCTGTCCTCTAGGAGTTTACAATCTCAGAAAAAGGCAAGTATTTCTGAAGTAATTTATTATGGTATCAAAGGCATTTGTAGACTTAGAAAACACCAGGACATGGTATTTGTGGTCACACAGAGTAAACAGAAATAAACACTGCATCTTAGCTCAAGACAGGCCTTTAAATTCAATCTGGTGCATCTCTATCCTACATCTGGACCTGACTCTACAGTACCTCAAATAAGCAGGATCAATTTGCCTAAACATCCAGTGAGAGAATGTCATCATACTCCACCTGCCGACAGATTTCACTATTAGAAAGTTCGTCACTCGTACTTAACTAAAGCCTCTACAATGGCTCTCATTCTGCCGGGTGGCATTACAAAGAATCAGGATACACTGATTCTCTTCTATGATGAGATCTCAAAACAAATGAAGCCACTTTAGCAGGCCTCTTCTAAGTCATCTCTTCCTGAGATCCAACATTTCCATTCTTTATGCTATGGACGACATGACAAAGTGTTGAAACTGCAATCATCCAGTGTGATTAAAAATAAGGTTAGGTTATCTAATAATCCAGTGTGATTAAAAATAATTAAAGCTAGGTTATACATGATTAAGTTCTAAAAACCAATCTATAAAGGGACTATCACAATTCATTAGACAGCAGTGGGAATACCCAAAGCATACCCTTCATGTTATACAGCATGAAGTTCTGAGTCACCCCAAGCCCTTGATTGAAATGGCAGCTAGAGGTGTCTCCATGAAGAGGTACAAACAGAAGGTCCTTGACTACATGTTCTTGCACAACTTCATCACCAGGTAATACAATTTTGAAAATATTCAATATTTTTTATCAAATTATATCTTCTGGGCAGTATTATCCAAATTTACTACTTTTATTATTTCCATTAAAGTAATGTCAACAATTCCTCCATTTTATTTTTTTCAATTTTTTTATTAGTATGTTTGCAGTACATAATGATCACATTCCTCATGGGGAGCTGTACTGTGTCAGGAAGTAACTGAGGATTCCTTCTGTGGCCTGAGGTAGTGTTAGAATCAGAGAAAGGACAGAAAGGCCTAGACCAAGCTCTTGATTTGATAAAAAACAGAAAAAACTGAGACCTAGAGATGCTGGGTGACTTCCCAAAGTCACACAGCATGCAGTTATTAGAAGTCACATCTACTTTAGAGCCACCACCCCTACCTTTGGACATGCTGACAGGGTGATGAGTACAGCTAACATGTAGCTGTACTTGGGGAAAGACACAGATGGTCACCATTCCTGATCCAAAACGCAAGAACCATACTTCTTGGAATATATCACATCTTTCTCTCCCTAATATCAATACCCCTGGCTTCACTGCTTTTCCAGACAGACTCACCCAAGTGCCATTCACAAAAAACTCCTGGATTCAGCTCTTAGGGGCCCTAAGCACTTGAACATTTCTGGGCTAAGAAAGATACATTTTCCCTTTTTAAGGGTGTAACTTTACTTTCTTTTTAAATTTGAGACAAGAGACTTTCTGCTGCTGGACATGAGAAAAGTTACTCTGTTCTAACAAACCAAGAAGCTCTCACTGGCTGCACATTGTAATCCTCAGGCAGAGCAACAAAACAGAAAATAATCTATTTTGGGTTCCATTAAAAATAAGAATATCACATCTTATGAATAAATAAACAATAAAGCGTATAAAACATAGTCCTTAGCCGGGCATGGTGGTGCACACCTGTAATCCCAGCACTCCTGGGAGGCTGAGACAGGACCCTAGCCTACGCAACTTAGTGAGACTGTCTCAAAGTAAAAAAATTTTAAAAAGAGTTTAGGATATAGCTCATTGTGAAGGCCCTGGGTTCAATCCCAACTAAGACAAAACAACAATAACAATAGCAGGTTATCATTATTATTTGTATTAAAGAAATAGTTATATTTTCTCTTATGTTCTTACCTTATTCCCTTGATAGAAGAGGCTGTAAAATTCCATTCGTGGATTTGTGTCTGCGAGTATCAAAGACAGAAATCAGTAGCTTGATTTTTCCAAGGATAATTTTTTTAGATTCATTCTATGGTCAATCATTTCTGTTATTTTCAGTAGGGGTTAGGTGTTAGAGCAATATACTTGGCACAACTTGGAACACCAGAAACACTTTCTACTGTATAGAAAAATTCATTAATAATCCTAATCCAGCTTAGAGCAAATAATATATATTTGAAATAATAATTTGTGATAGAAAAAATAAGCACCCAATAAATACATACTAAGCAGTCCCTTACCTTTTGTCAACACAGTAGGAAACTCTAAGACAGGTTTGGAAATAGCCCACCTAAGCTGAGTAACTTGCAAAAATGTTTGGAGAAGCACAACTGTGATAGAACACTGAGCCATTCAGTGTTCATTAATCATCATTTCCTTTCCTCCCTGAGCACATGTCTAAATTACATTTCCCAGCCTCCCTTGCGGTTAAATGGAGCCATATGACAGAGTTCTGACCACTGGGACATGAGAAGTGGTGTGCACCACCTGCAGGCTTGGCCCATAAAAATCTCCACAGCACTCCCCTATCTTCCTTTTTCTCCAGCCACTATGAGATGGAGTGGGGCTTCCAGCCAACCAGGTTATAACATGAAGCATAGACAAACTTATCATATTAAGATGTTGAGATTTGGCAGCTTATTGTAGCAGCTGGCCCACCATGACTAATAGAAAAACTAATTGGGATTTCAATCTGTACCAATCAATACACTTAAAAAACGAAAATAACTCTGTCCCTCTCTCTATTGCCCTTCCTTAAACTCTGCATAAAGCTAAGCCTCAGAAGGATTGTCTAAAATCTAGTTTTAGAAAGGCTATAGGCTCCACCATAAATAGATCACAAATGTAGAAAATAACTTTAAATAGGAAGATTCATTTGATTGGCCTTACGCTGCTTGAAACTGGATATTGGGAGTATTTACTCCACAGAAATCAGCAAACACTGTAAACTAATCCACATGGAAATCAGCTTGCAGCCCCAGAGAGTGGGGTGTTCAACATTTATCATCATACTATTGTGTCCTTATTTCCAATGAGTTTCTAAATCCTTGGCTAATATACTAGAGATTTAATCTCATTTTACAATGATGTTGCTTGAAGTTGTATACATGTATGTGTGTATTCTCTTCCCACCATCCATACATAATCCGCCAGGAAAAATGCAACTTTATAGAAAAATGTCATCTCCCTCAAGGAAAATCTGCTTGCTTTTCACAATCCGCAGAATTTCAAAATTGTAAATGAAGGAAGATGTGAAGATTCCTCTCAAAGGAAAGGGCAACAACTATAAGCACTTATGCAAAACATTTTCTCAGTCAAGGAACACTAGCATTTGTGACTTAAGAGTTCTTTTTTCATTTATTACAGACTATATACAAATAAAGTAAAACATCTGCAACTAGTGAGATAGTGTATGTACCAACAGAAATTTCTATTAAGTCAGCAACCATTATAAGATTCAAAATGAGGCAGCTCAAACTGGTAGAATGTCATGAAATCAAACCATTTTGCTTTAAAAGTATGAAGAGTCATTTTTAAATAGCATTAGCTTTTTCTGCAACCACTTGTCAAAATATGAGGTGTTTTCCATCTATATCAATGAAACAGAGATTGCAGATCAAAATTTTGAAAATTTTCTTATATGACAGTGGCATCAATAACATAAAGTAAGCAAGATTGGTATCTGGCACAGGAATTTCTGCACAGAGAACAGGGTGCTCCATGGAGTTGGCATCTGGAGGCCTGCACTAAGGGAATAGGAACAAGATCTGCAGATGTCTTATTTCTTGACCTGTGCTGGCTACTGAAGTGAGTTCACCTTGTAAAACTCCATCAAACTGTACATTTATGACTTATGCAGTTTTCCATGTGTATATTACACAGATGGAAGATCCTTAACTGAAATGCCTGGGGCTAGAAATGTTTCAGATTTTGCAGTTTTTCGAGATTGTATAGTATTTGCACAGACTTTACTGGTTGAGCATACCTGATCTGAAAATCTGAAAAATGAAATGCTCCAAAATCCAGAACTTTCTGAACACTGCCATTGAAAAGGTTTTGGATTTTATAGCATTTCAGATTTTTGAGTTAGGGAAGCTCAATCTATACTGCAATAACAGGTTTGTTTAAAAAAAATAGTTAAAGCTCATTATTCTTAGATTCATCTGTATAAACACCATGTATGTACTTTATTAGAGCTTGAGTTTTTCTCTTTTAGACTAAAATATTTAATGTACACAGTTCAGGAAAAAAACACAAGCACATCATAGTAGTCCATCCACACTAATGGCTGTTGACTATTTCCAATGATGTTAAGATCACTCAAATGTTAAATATTGGACAGGGTTACTGGCCTTAATTTGAGATATCATGACTATATCTGATAAGGAGTCTCTAATACAAATTTAAGCCTCTGCTTGTTCTACAATGTTACATTTTATTTTTGAAGATATTGCTTATTTTTACCTGATTACAACATAACTGTTCACACTCTGCTTCCGGGAAGAAAAATTATCTTCCTTTGCCAAGTTAATGGCAGAAATTTTCCCATACTCCATGGAAACACACACATAGCAAATAAATCTATCTAACGTGCTTTTTCAAAGGTGCTATGTTTATTACTGCAAAATTTATGAAATAAAAAACTGATGAAGTACTTTAGATAAAGAAATGAAAATATCATTATCACCACAAAATAGCAGATCCAGCTGAGCATTTCTGTAATCTCTTTAATGGGCAATTACAACCTCTCATCTCCTGTATTGCTAGTACAAGTGTAAATTGGAATGGTATGAATTTGATAGTAACTTTTTTTAAAAGCAAAAATTTGACAGTAACTATTAGAAATTTAAACACAAGTCTAGCAAGCCCATTTCCAGGAAACTTTGCTCCTAAAATGCTTCTATGAACACAGGAGGATAGAACAACCAGAATGAAAACTGGCCTATCACTGGCAAGAGTAAAAAGTGGGGACCTAAATAGGCATCAGTAAGAAAGAGGTAAAATAAAGTAGGTTCGTCTAGACCAGGAAATACATCATATGATATGGAAACACAGGAACTATGATATTTAAGAAATCAAGTGGCTCGGTGTGTAGTATATGGAAAACTGTCCATGATGTACGGATGAATTAAAAACAATAAATTGCAAAACAATAAATATATGCTGTATGGTCACACTATAATATAAAATGCCTCCATGTGTGCACAAAATGTATAGACACATATACATTATACACATATAAGTGCTTTTAGAGAAAGGATACAGGGATATCCACCAAATCACTGGGGATGAGGATGGAGACAAGGTTTGAAAAATATTGAGGTAACTTCTCTGTGTATCCTTTATTTAGTTCCTTATTGTTTAACTTAAAAATAAACCAAATTCTGTATTTTTAATATTTATACTTATTGTATATAAACACACCCACATAAGCCCCCCAGTATATATATATACACATACATAAAAATGGAAAAATCTCTTTCCTTTTTTCATCTGTGAGCATACCTTCTCATACAGTCCCATAATTTGGAAATTAAGCATAGGTGCCTATTTATTCTCATACTATCACGTAGTCTTTCCTACTGGAAAATCAAATATTTGATTAAATACAGAAGAAAAAGAGCTATTTATGATTTTTTTTCCTTACCATTTCTGAGGGCGAAACATGCCATAAAAACACTGTTCTCTCCTCAGCTTCACTGCTGATAGACACATAAGCAGGCTGGTAGATTTTGGTTGGCTCTATCACCAGAACCTAAAATAAGGACAGATTCTTGTAACACATAGGAATCTAAAATGAGTGATCCTGCCCAGTGAGAAAGTGGGACGATTTATACTCAACCAATACTGATGGAAGACCACTATGTCAAGCATGACTCCAGTAGCTGTGGGTACAGCAAGACACAAAAGGCCCCGCCTGGGGCAGGGCTGCGCTCCAATGGGCCAGATGGAGCAGCAAACTGATAGGGCTATACAATCTAATGTCACGTAGTGCTCTGAAGAGAATAACAGAGAAGACAGGCAGGTGTGTGCGCATGCGTGTGTGTGTGTGTGTGTGTGTGTGTGTGTGTGTGTTTCTTCAGACAAGGTGGCCAAGAAAGGCCTGCCTGAATTGGTGACAGGAAAAGAGGGAAGTTACCATTTTTGAGAGAACAAGGAATTAGACTGGATGGTCAGCAGGTACCAAGTCTGTAGAATTGAAGGGAGATGAAAAGTGAGTGCCATTTCCATTTGCAAGGTCTTATTTGGTTACAAGAGAAAGGGGAGAGGAGGAGAAGGAAGGAGAGAGAAAAGATGGCAGGTAGAGAGGTCAGAAGAGAGAGGGAGAGAAGAAATAAATCACCAAAACAAAGCAACATGTTTAAGATTGCTAAACCTGAATATAGCTTACACAAGTATCTGTATTGTTACTGGTCTGTTCTTTTCAAGTTTGAAATATTTCATAATTAAAAGAAGATTTTAAACACAGGAACAAAAACTATCATTATCTTTTCCAACACCTCCATCTTTTATTAAATGTTTAATGAGCCTAGATAGAATATAAAAGGGACAGAAAGAAGCTGATATTGTCGCTTGTAGCTTGGTGTTTTCTGCCTTCTGTCCACCATGCACTGTTTCTCCTCTGCAATACCTCTCTGCCATACCACCCTGCATTGGAGCGAGCCAGGTGTGAACTGAAACCTCTACAAACTGTGAGCTAACACAGTTTCCTCCCTTAACTTTGGCCGTCAGGTATTTTGTCTCAGCAATGAGAAAAAAGTAACTAAGACACCAGCTATTTCTTAGAGGACTAATATCTATAATAAAGAACTCAAAATACTACAACCATCTAAAATCAAAAGACCTAATAATAATGGGCAAGGGAAATGAATAAACACTTCAGAAAAAGTACAAATGGCCAATAAATACATGAAAAAATATTCAACATCTCTGGCCATTAGAGAAATACAAATTAAAACAACACTAAGGTTTCATCTTATACCAGAAAGAATGCCAATCATCAAGAAATCAAATAATGACAAATGCTGACATTTGCAGCCATGCTGCAGTGAAAAAAAAATCCTCCTACATTGTTGGTAGAAATGTAAACTATTACAACCATTACAGAAGTTAGCACAGAGATTTCTCAAAGAACTAAAAATAGAATTCCATTTGACCCAGCTATTCTCTTTCTAGGTAGGTCTCCAAAAGAGCTATAGACATCATACTACAGTGATATATATGCATACCAATGTTTATAGCAGCATAATTTGTAATAGCTAAATCCCGGAAGCAGCCTATATATCCATAATCAGAAAAATGGATAAAGAAAATGTGGTATCTATACATAATGGAAAATTACACTCAGCTATAAAAGATAAATTCAAGACATTGTAGGAAAATGGATACACCTGGAAAATATAATGTTAAGTGAAATAAATCAGTTATGTAACCTTAACTACTATATGGTTTCTCTCATTTGAGTAATCTGAAGTACAAATAAAGAACAAAATAAAAGGAAACGGGGAGATGGATTGTTGCAAATGGGAAGGTGTCGACAAGACCAAGGGTGAGGGAAGGGAGGGAGGGAAAAGGAATGTAAAAAGATTTAAGATGTGTCATATACATGTACCAAATATGCACAATGAATGTAAACATTACATGTCCTAAACATAAACTAAAAATAGTAGTAATAAAATGGGGAAAGAGAATCTAGAGATGGAGGCAAGGAGGTGGTGATGAAAGGGAATAATCAAGATATGTACATGTACCTACTTCCTGAGACGAATGTAAACTTCATGTACTGCAAAAATGTACTAATAAAATAAAAAAAATTTAATTATAATTTTATCTCTTTCAGAGTATTCAATCATTAGATAACACAAAGCCTACTTTCTTTTGTCTATCTTAAACTAATTAGGGGCTGGGGATTTATTGTAGTGGTAAGGTGCTTGCCTAGTGTGAGACCTAACTAACTCCATTTTAAAATTTGACTCCATCTTGGAATAAGATAGTAGAGTGGCCTTGACATAAATTCCACTTCACTGAAGTCAACTATTCCCCTAGTCTCCTTTGTGCCCATAAAATAATGATAAAATGTCCTTGCTGTGGGACAACAGATAAAAAAAGGACACAGCTCCTAACTCAATCCTCTGTCTGCCCAAAAAACAGATGCTCCCGGGCCCATTATCTATAGAACACTCTGTCAATGTGCTGATTGTTCCTTTTTCCCATAAACTCTACATGTAGCCACCCCTCAACCCCCCCCCAATGTACACCTCCTGCTTGCTAAATATCAACCAATTATGTAACTGCTAAATGGAAAATCCCCAAACCTTGCTGTAGCCACAATAAAAACCCTGCTGATTTGAAATTCAGGGCTCTCAATCCTGATCCACTGTGTCGGTGACGGTGACGGTTGAGTGCCCCTGCTTGAGCTTGAATAAACGACCGTCGTGTGTTTGCATTGGAATCAGCTCCTTGGTGGTCTTTGGGGACTTCGCGATCTGGGCACAACATTAGCACACATAGGCCCTGGTTTTCATTCCCAGAATCAAAGGAAGGAAGGAAGGAAGGGAGGGAGGGAGGGAGGGAGGCAAGGGAGGAGAAATGAAAAAAGAGAGCAAGAAAGAAGAAAAGAAAAGGAAGGAAGGAGAGAGAGACAGAGAGAGAGATTTAGCACATCTTACTGGAAATCTGAGTCCATCAGTAACTTCAGTTGTTGCTTCAAAAATTATATCTAACCAGAAGTTAAATTGTTCTTGCCTGGATGAATACTCAATATCAAGTTTCTTAAAGCACAGAATTAACAACAAGTTTTGAACTAATGATCGCAGGTACCTGGGAAAAAGTCATGAAAATTTATGAATTAGATTCCTAAAGAAACTCAATTCTATTCCCTTTAAAAGAAGCTTCCCTGAAACTTCATACAGTATAATTAAATTCATATTATGCCATGAGCACTTCAAAAACAATCATTGGAAGCCACATAACTAATTAAAGGAAACCTAAACAGTAGGCAAAATAAAGCAGTTCAACAAAATCATAACATGGCTTTTGACCCGACATTGGTCAATAGCATCAATTTTAGTACATAGTATCCAAAATGTAGTGACTAGAAAACGTGATAACTGCCTTTAATAACAAAAGCAAGTAGCTCTTCAGTCAAAGCAATTACCCAATTTCAACCCAATGTCTCTTATTTATTTATTTATTTATTTATTTATTTATTTATGGTACCGGGGAGCAAACTCAGGACATTGCACGTGCCAGGTAGGCATGGTGGCACTGAGCTAAATCCCTAGCCCCCCACTGTCTTTATTGAGGTAATTTTAGATTCATATGAAGTTCCAAGAAATTATACACAGAACATTTATACCCCCTGACCCAGTTTCCCCTAATGGCAGCATCTTGCAAATCTACAGTACAGTATCACAAGCAGGGTGTTGCCACTGATATAGTCAAGGTGGAGACCACTTCCATCATGCTGCCTTTCTATAGTCAAGCCTATTTCCTTCCCATCCCCATCCTCATCTTCATCCCTGGCAATCACTAATCTTCAACTCACTGTTTTCATTTATTTTTAAATAGAATCTGACCAGGTAAATTTGTAATGTTAAGGAGTCTTGACTCTGCCCACACCTTTGTTGCCCACAGGCAAATTAAACATTTTGAAATATAGTTGCCAGGCAGTGGCGGTCACATCCTCTCTGGTACTAAATGGGGATGGTTCAACTGAAAACATCTTATTATTTTGCTCACTAAACATAAAGTCTGGAGCTCTCCTGGGGAGGCAGACCAGACTCCAACTGACTTGTCTGGGTACTCATCAGGCCTCAGCTACCCAACTACACATTCCAGAGAAAGGTCAGGTCTTTGCCTGGATACCTAGACATTTCCTACAGACCCTTGGAATATTCTTTCTGCTAAGTGTGTGTGTTTACCTGTGGTCTTGAGCCATGTCAGATAGTTTATACTAATAATATGGTTAATGGTGGGGGGTCTTGGGCCATATGCTGTATCACTTGGACCTCCTGAGAAGCTGGAGACTGAGAGGTATTAAGATCAGCCACACGAACACTCCATGCCTATGTGATTCACCTCCAATAAAAACCCTGGACATCAAGGCTCAGTGGGTTTTTCTGACTGGCAATCTCTCTTGTATGTTGTCACGTATCATTGCTAGGAAAATTAAGCACTGCCCATATCATACCACAGGGAAAGGACAACTGGAAGCTTGCACATGGTCTCCTCTGGACTCTGCCCCATGTGCCTTTTGCCTTAGCTAATTTAACCTTTCATTATAATAAAGCATAGCTATGAGTATAACAGTGTTTCTGAATTCTATAGGTCTTTCTAGTAATGAACCTCAGGGTGGTCTTGGGGACCTCTGAATCAATAAGTAACAACACTGTAAGTCAGCCCAGTTGCAGATATAAAGAGAATACATCCAAACGCTGGCGTCTTCTAACCTAGAATCAGCAATATCTGGCGTAGATGTAGGACTACACCTTAATATTAGGATGCTGCACACAGCAGCTATTCTAGGAAGGCTGGAGGCCATCCTCACTCTGTAGAGCTCAGCCTCAGAGAAATCTCAAGAGGCTAATATGGTTTCTGAGCCAAATTTAAGATCTTTTGGATTGGGAAGAAATGGAATCAAACTAGATATAACTGAAGAGATTTCTACCTCTGGGAATTGAACTGGATAACTGAACTGGGAAATAAGATGTGGCAAATGATTATGGACTATTAAAAGTAAATTTTAAAAAATTACTCAAGTATGTGGTTTTAGTCTAGTAGGGGTCCCTATGTACTAGCCCCCCTGTGCTGCAGCACAGGCCCTATTAAAATAAAGACTCTTGGGGCTGGGGATTTAGCTCAGTGGTTCCACCGCCTGCCTTGCAAGTGCAAGGACCCAAGTTCAATCGCCGGTACCAAAAAAAAAAAAATCAACCAAAAAATATAGACTCTCTACTTTGGTGTTCCTGTAAACCTGCCTATAATTTATTTCTTGAGTAGTGTGGGCTCCAAAAGTCCTATAAATCTACTACAATTTTTACCCTGGGTAGTGTGGACAGGGCGAATAAACAGAGCTGTTAACACCAAAGAGAAAAAAAAATTATTCAAGTATGGGGTGAGTATCCCTAATCTGAGGAAAACTGAAATATTCCAAAATCCAATACTTTATGAGCATCATGTTGGCACTCAAAACTTTTGAGTTTTGAAGCATTTCAGATTTGAGTTAGTGATGTTCAACTGGTAAGGTCTATGAGAATATTCCAAAATAATAAATAAACAAACCCCACATCTGAAACACTTCTGGTCCTGAACATTTTAGATAAGAACACACTCAACTTGTCACCCATAAGCATTCTAGAAAAATTAGAAAACTGAGATAAGCAATAAAACAGGTTAGAAAATTCTTATAAGGCTATTTCTCTGAGATAACCAGGCAATATTTTGGAGAAAACCCCTCATTTATACTTTAATCACTGTGTAAATATCTACTGATCATACATTATGAGACTGTAGCCACCAATAAGATAACCACAATTCTAATAAAGGAGCTTTATGTCTATGGGGAAGTCAGACTGACTACTTCTCCCAGATCTTTCCCCGTGAGTCACATATCAAACACACACACACACACACACACACACACACACACACATATATATATATATATATATATATATATAACTTAAACAAGATCATGTAGAAAAATAGTTCTCCAAGTGTGGCTCCCCAGACCTAGCATCAGCATCTTGCCATTTGTAAATGCAAATTCTCAGGCTCTACCTTAGACCTACTAAACTAGAAAACCTGAGGGTGGGCCCATTAATTTGTATTTTAATCAGCACAGGTGATTTTGATGCATTATAAAGATCGAGAGCCACTAATAAGGAAAAATGTACTCTGAAACTGGCTTTTATTCTACAATAAACCATGAGCACACTTCCATGTCTTTAAGTATTCTTGCCTACACACTTAAATGGCTGCATAATGGCCTGACTTCAGGCTGTTGCTGTGTTGTCATTTTATTGACTACACTCTATTATTAGTCTTTTAGTTCCAGTATTCGTTATGAACATCATTTTCTTGGTGTGCTTTTTAAGCTTTATTATATGCTTTCTCACAAATGAGTAATACATACTAGTACCAAAGAATATTTTGCTCTTGAGGACCTAGACAACCTGAAGAAGTTAATAGGATTGAGAGTCTAATCTTAGGGACAGTGTGTAAGGGCTTGTTCTGTGTGTTCATATGTGTGTCTCTCTCTCCCTTTACATAAATGCGGTGAGCTCTCAGAGGTGTAATGTCTGCTGTAACTGCTTTAATGAAGAAGTCAGAAGAAGAAACACAGCAGCTGTTATTCTTTTGTGCATTTCTACCTTTTCTCCTTAAGGGAGACATTTCAGAGCAAGATCAGATATTGAGATGGGTGATGACAAGGTACAGGTAAGACTTACCAGACTGGAGGCTTCAGTCTGAACAACCTCTCTGCTGCCTGGACAGCCTTCTCGACATTGTTGGCCAGCACGGTGATGGTGAAAAAGTAACCCACATCCCAGTAATTGTTCATTTTCTCCAAGCTCCCTTTTCTTCCCAACAAATCGTTCAGCTGGATACCTTTAGAATTTGAATTTTAGAGATGTCATGAAAACTCCTTCTAGTTCCTTATCATAGTAAGCAACCAGGAATTTTATTTTGGTTGCTGTTTTAGGTGTGCTGTCAGAAAATAACTGTTGTTTTTGAAATATAATACTAATTATTTGGACACAATTTTTAATGCTAAACTTGTGTAATGAAAGCATCAATATCTGCAATAATAAACAGCTTTACCTATTTTTCTTAGTTCCGTGGAAGTTTCAAAGTGTTGTCCAGCAACTATCAGCAAAATTGAAAGGTTGATTCCTGAATAAAGAGATGGCTGGAGTTCAAATCCTTTGCGATACCTGTTAATTATAGAATCAAATTCTTATTATATAATATTATTATGTTAGAACAAAAATGTATAGATAATGGTAAAGGTAAAAACTACCTTCTCATAAAAATATTAGTTTCCTTCCTCACCTGATGAACAGCTACATGAAGCTCTCAAATAACTTTATAAAAAATATAACAACACAGTAACTTACACTAGGAAGTTTTACATTTTTTCTTCCCAAGGCTTATATTTTTATAATAAAAAACAGTGCTCACATAAATATGGAAACTGTATTACAGTGTCCAAAGAAATTTAAAATTTATTATAATCCTAGCTCCAAAAGATGACCACAATTTGATCTCCAGATTTCATTTTTCAAGTTAAATTCCACTCATACATTATTTTTGTTACACAGAAATAGCATAAATCATAGGTTATTTCTCTGTATTTGTTTGTTTATATCACAATGCGGAATCATTTTTTCATGTATGAAGCCATAATATCAGAATCTGAGTCCCAAAGAGCTATGACAGCAATGACATAAATGGAGGGAAGGGGGCAGGGATCTACCATATAAGGAACAAGATACAAAACTGGGAATATAATTTGTATGTGAAAAGGTTAACAGTTCCACTCTCTTTTCTACACATAAAGTTTCTCTTTCATAAACAAGTTATGATACTGTGATCAGAAAAAATGATTCAAAGAAATGATAACACAAAAATGTCTTTAAGTGACACAGTTAATACCAAGGACTTGCAAACCCAAAATTATTTATCATTCATGTGATAAGAGAATTCAACAATAAAATATTAATACTTGGAGGGAAGTTATTTTTTAAGTCTGTTAAAATATGGTTTTATGAATTTTGGAGCACAAGTTCCCTCAGACAGACCACAAGACACCAAGAAAGTTCTTCTTACCCATCACCAAAGTTCCAATTCCAATCTTTTTTCCTTCTGTATGTTTTGGGAATGTAAAATTTCATATCCTATTGGATTTGATTCTTTAAAAAATTTTTGCTTACAATGAAAAGTTACAGGGCAGAGATGATTGGAACTCCAGTCAGAATCGCAGTCCCAGATTTGCCACTAACCATCCCTGTGACTTTAGACCAGTCACTCACCTCAATGGGCCACATGTTCTATATTCATACTTGAGGGTCTGGGTTAAATGATCCCCAAGTCTCATCCAGAGCAAATGTTCTCTGATCTGAGGCTACCTTTCTGAGAATGCTGCCTACCATGTAAGAAAGGTGATCTACCAGGCTTAGAACCACATGGTAGAGAATGAAGGCATAGCACTAACAGTCAACACAAGCTATAAAATGGGTATAGGGCCATCTTAGATCTTCTAGTCCTGCCTGACCCTATAGCTGACTAATTTCAGGTGGGAACCTGGGTGAAGCCAGCAGTGGAACTGCCTAGATAATCCACAGAATCACTGCTATTGTTTGAAGCCATTAACTTTTTTTTTCTTGGTACCGGGATCGAACTCAGGACCTTGCACTTGAGAGGCAGGCACAGTGCCACTGAGCTCAATCCCGGGCCCTGATGCCATTAACTTTTGAGGTTGTTATGCTTCAAGGCAGAGCTGAGACACCTCTTAAAATACATTCTTTGTATAACATTGAGAATAGTCTTGTTAAAATGCATGTCAGACCTTGTAACTCCTCTGCTCAGAATCCTCCAATGATGTGCCTTCCTAGTCAAAGTAAAGAAATCTTCCTTCCCTATCATTTTATGCTTCTCTCTTTTGCTTACCCCTCATCATCCTGGAGCATGCCAGGCATGCTTTCTTCTCAAAGTATTTGCCCTTGCCGATCTCTCCACCTGGAACACTTTCTCCATGTTTGTCTGTGAAGCCCACTCCCTCACCATCATATTTTTATCTGCCTTAACCAACCACCCTATTTAACACTCAGACCACCCTCGAAGCCCTCTTTTTTCCTCTCCCTGCTTAACTTTTACTCATAGCCCTCCCTTACCATCAGCTGAAATCCTACAATTTTACTTTGTTGGTCTGACTTTCCTCTCCAACAATGCAATGCTCCTGAGGGCAATAATTCACATCTGTAATGCCCACATTCCCATCTAGAAAAGTTTCTGGTATAAAGTAAGTCCTCAATAAACATTTGTCGAGTGAATGAATAAATGAACAGCTTATTCAGAAAACAATTCCCTGATGGAATAAACAAAGTTCTAGAAGGGGTAAGTAAAAAGGAGCATGTTAAACCTTCTCCTGCCTCATAAAAGAGTGAACTTATGAGATGAATGTGACTAGCAGAAAACCCTTGTTCTCATAGTTTTCACTTAGAAGAGGAATCTGGAAATTCCTGGGCCACATTAACTGCAAATGTTTTTCACTGCCAGCAGACAGGCACACACACATGTCCATAGGGAAGGACCCTGGATGTTCAGCCTATTCAGTTCTGTTCTTTGCAAAGACATATGTGCTATTTACCATGTAATGGCCTTGTCTCGGCAGATATCATCTTCATACTCTGAATCCAAAAACATATCTTTGTAGATCCTCCCACAGAGGCAGAACATGTCAGGGGCTGGGTGGTCACAGCTCTGCAAAACCTGGAGCATGACCTGAAGAGCCTTCTCACGGTCACCTGTGCCGTTTCTCCTGAAAGATACATGATTTGAGATCATATCTGGATCACAATTGAGGAGTATATATGCATTTGTTCTTCCAGAACACTGGGAAAGGGTGCTGTGCTTTAAAGGAAAAATATTCTAAGCAATATTTTAATTTTTCTTTCACATATAGCAATTGCTTAAGGTCGATTTCAGTAAGTCTCATACAAGTACACTCAGGCCTTACTTGATCCTATCTCTAACAAATAAATCATGTGAAAAGAAAAAATAAGGGGAAAGCAATATAATGAAAAAGAATTAAATTCATATCAGCCACATTCAATGTATAGACTTTGTCTGGATCATGACTCAGACAAACCCACTATAAAAAAAAAACAATTGGGAAAATATGAACATTGACATTGAGGAATTATTGTTAAATTTTAGATATATCATAATCAAGATTTTTTATAAACTGTCCTTAACTTTTATTGATATAAAATGGGTAAAATGTTAGGTCTGATTCATAATAAAGCCAGTGTTAGAGTATGAAGGAGTAGGAATAAATGGGAAATAAAACTGACCATATAATGATAATTATCCACATGAATAAGGGGTACATGGGGGTTCATTATGGTGACGGTTAATTGTCTGTGTCAATTTGACTTGGCTAAAGCCCAGATAGCTGATAAAATATTATATGTGAGTGAATATGCAAGTGTGCTTAAGAAAATTAGCATTTGAATCAGTAGACTAAGAAGACCTGCCTTTACTAATGTGGGCAGGGCATCATCAGACCCTGTTGAAAGGCCCAAATAGAACAAAAAGGTTGAGGAAGTATGACTCACTCTCCCTTTTTCCCTCCCTCTCCCTCTCCTCTCTCTTCCTCATCATCATTCTCATTTTTATTCCCATTCATTCATCCTCCCATCCATCCTCCCTCCTTCCCTCCCTCCCTCCCATCTTCTACCCTCAAACATTGAGGTTCCTAGCTCTCAGGCTTTCAGACTCTGAGACATATGCCAGTGGCACCCCCTGTTCTTAAGTCTTTGGACTCAGACTGAATTATACTACTGGCTCCTCTGGGTCTCCAGCTCCTCATAGACAGCATAGGATGGGACTTTGAGGCTTCCATACTCACATGACCAATGTCCATAATAAGTCTTCTATATCTATATACCCTATTGATCTGTGTCTATTGAGAACCCTACCTAACACAATTATACTATTCCTTACTTTGGAATATATTTGAAATTTTACATAATAAAAACCAAAAATGTAAAAGGCACCCATCCTGACTCAATAGTTTCGCTTATAGAATCTGTAATATAGAAATATTTAGAATTTTTTGAACAAAGATATGTTATGCTTGTAATACCGAGGAAATGGAGATGATACAAATGTCCATCAGCAAAAGAAATGGCCATATATATCTTGTAGCAACCAAACTATGGAATACCGTGCAACTCTAATAAAGGAGCAGATCCACATGCAATTATATAGAAAAACTTCTTTGCATTACATGGGAAAAACTGCTGAACTAAATGAAAAGCACGATGCCACTCTTTGAAATAAACACTATTTACATGCATGTTTATATACATGAACAAAAGCCTGAAAGGATACACATTAAGCTGTTCACATTCATTAAACTGGTGGGATTTCTAAAAGGTGGTCCTGTGTATATTTTGTTAATAATTATTCTAACAAAGAAATTATCCTTTTAAATTTCTTGGTAATTTTACAACAGGCTCTTTTATGCTTTCTTTCCTAAGTACATGTATGTCATCACAAAAAGCTACTGTATTATCCAAGAAGCCTGATTAAGACATAAAACAGCCTTTCTCCACTGGGCTTCCATAATAGAATTAAACCCTAAGGCAAATTATTTGATTATTTGACTACTTTTTCAGTTCTCTCAAGGACAGTACATGGTTAGCTCCATTCAAGACACATGAGAGAATTTCATTAATTTCATACAATGGATGCTGTAGGGCATTAGGGCTTAATTCTCTTGTTGGAACCCAACCTGAGCTGAGAAGGACTAATCTAGACATTTGGCAGCCTTCTGGAAACCTGCAGTAATTAAGTCTTTATTTTGACTGACTTTTTCCATTTTCTACCTTAGTCTTATTTAATGTATTTGATTGCTTGTCTCTTTGTCATATAGAATCTAATTTAACTAGCCTGCAAACCAGATCTCTTTTTTGCACAAAGCACCCATGATATTCTTTAATTTTTAAAATAGCCAACAGATACCAACCCAACTCAAATTTAAAAAGCATTTAAATAACTTCTAATGTCTCTGGTGAGAATATGAAAAAGATTAAAACTAATAAAGTACAAATTTCCTACACCTGTTATTAGCCTACTTTTGAGGTGTGACATATTCAGGATTTTGCAAAGAATGTACTTAACTTGCTTAAATGCTTAATTATTGATGTGAGTTTAGGTTAGGTTTCTTTTTCTTTTCTTTTTGTGAATCAGTTACATCAAGATTTCTCTTAAAGTTTTTCATTAACTTGAAACTTACCCTTATTACTCAAAAATAAAGGTCTTTTGAGTATAAAGAAAAAACAAAAATCAAGCACCTGAAAAAAGAATGGAAAGCAAAGAGATTTTCAGCTTAAAAGCTACTTTAAGGCAGGTGCTAAATAGCTAATCCCTTTAGTGGTTAATAATCAGCTTTCAGATCTGCTTATCATTTTCAGATCCCAAGGTATCGAAGAACAAACCTGTAGATAAAAACTCCTATTTGTAACTAGTCAGCAACATCTGTTTCTGGCAGTAAGGTCATTTCACAATGAAGAGAAGAAAATGACAACAGTGAGTTGGCTACACATTAGAATCACCTAGGGAGATTTAAAAGCCCTGGGATCCAGGATGCATCCTAGACCAATTAATTCTAAATCTTTGGAGATGAGACCCACACATCTGTATTTGTTACCCTGCACATTCTGATTCAGCAGGTCTGCATCATTGCCAAATCTACCAAGAAAATTCTTACTTCTTGTCCTATTAGACCTCTATATGCATTTGACTCACATGTGTATTTTATAACTGTGCACTCCTTTCTCCTTGGCCTGTTTTCCTCATTTGATTTGTAGGATACCACACTTGTCTGATTTTCCTCCTCATACAACTCTATTTTCTGGTTCCTATTCATCTCTCTGGTCTTTTGACATTAGAGTGTCCCCAAGCACAACCCTTGGACCTTTCCTCTTTTTTGGTAACTACACTAGTTTCCCGGGTGATATCATCCAGTGTCATGATTTCTTAATCTATATACTTGTGACTCCAAAATTTCTATCTCCAGCCCAGATACCTCCCCTAAACACCGGACTTATATATCTGCCTTCTTAGCCTCTCCCCTGCATGTTTAATACCTCAAACTTAACACATTAAAATAAAACACCTGTTCACTTTATCAAACCTGTTCTTCCCATAGCCTTCCCTGTGTATTCTTCCTGTTATTCAGGCCAAAAACTTCCAAGTCATGCTTGATTCTCCTGGTGCCCTTTATTCAATCAGTAAATGCTACTGGATTTTATTTCAAACCATCTTCTAAATGAGTCCACTCCTCCACAATAGCCACCTTCATCCAAACTGCCATAATTTTCTGCTTCTATCCTTCTCTCTTTATAATCAACACAGAAGTCAGAATAATTTAGCTACACTGTAACTCAGGTCATGTCACTCTACTCAAAACTCTCCAGTGGCTCCCAACTTGGAATACCCACCAATTTTTTTCAATGACCTACAAGGCTTTACAAGAACTGGCCCCCCGCCCAGTTATTTTTCCAATCTTATCTCTTGCCATTTACCTTCCCATCACTTACTATGCCCCAGCTCTTTATCCCTCTACTTGGAATACTCTTTCCCAATATATTTACATGGCATGTTCCCTCACCACCTATCTTTTCTTCATGTCACTTTCCAGAAAGTGAGGTCTTCTCTGAACATCCAACTTAAAATTGCAGCCTTTCCATCCCACTAGCTTGAATTATTTTATTAATAACTTTAATTATTTTTAATTTTAATTACCTCCTCTCATTTTAGAATGTAAGCTCCAAGAAAGTGAGTTTTTAGAGGGTCTCTCTGGTCGATTTACTGCTGTACCCAAGTGCACAGAAACAGAACTGGATGTGGCATATAGTAGGGGGTCAATAAATATTTGTTCAATGAATGCCAAACTGAACAAAACTATATGTACTGACATAGATCTCCAAGGATTGATAGCTAAGTGAAAAAATTTAACAACAGAATACCTTCTGTATGGTCCTATATGTTAAAAACCCTGCAGTATGACATATTTCAGTGCATAGAAAAAAATTGCCTGGAATGATATACACCAACCTGACAAAAGAGGTTACTTCTGGAGTATGAGTGGGATCACAGATTAGAGTTAAGAGGAATAACTGCTTTAAATTTTTTTCAGTTTTTCATAAGAATATATAAACATATTCACCTATTTATGCAATGAAATACATAATAAAAACAGAACACTAGACTGGAATCAAGGGCTAGATTATGGTTATTGTCACATCATTGACTACCCATATGAACTTTGTGCGAGTCTCTTATCCCTCCTGTGCCTCAGTTCTCCATCTGAAAAGTAGGTTTGACTTTGCTCTTTTCACAATGTTATGGTCAGCTACAAGTCTACTAGAGCATTAACTTGCCATTAACCATCCTATCTGCCTATCCATGTTTTCTACACTGTGTGTCTATCAGAGGAAGTTCACAGGGTGAGAGAGAGAGTTTCAAGCCTTTCTTCTAAGCCAGCCCTGAGTAAACAAGCAAAATGTCTCATCAGACCAGTATCCTTTCTAGAACAAACCTTGGCTTGGGTCATCTACCAAAAACCTTGTAAGAGACTTCTACTTCCAATTAGGATGTAGAAGAATGTGAAAGGCTTACCCTTCTGTGATAACAATAAAAATTCAGACAATATAAAAATCATACTGAGCAGAAGGAAGAAAGCCTTGATGAACTGAATTCTAAAGCCACAACATCTTCCATACTTGCTTGCATCAGTACACTGATGAC